ACTCATTCTGTGCTCATGAAAACAATTCAGATTTGCTCAGTACCTGAACCCAAAATCATTATTAATTAAAAACCTCTTGAATGTTTTCTTGCCCCATCTCCCCCCCCCCCCCCCTCCCTCTTGATGCAAAGATGTTCTCACTGATTTATGTATTGCGTGCCCCTCTAGCAACAAAGCATACCAAACTATTCATTTCGTCTAGCAGACGTCCTGATCAATCACCTAGCTCAATAATCGACTAGTTGTCCGACCATATGTGCGGTCTAGAACCCTAGGTAAAAACCCTAGCAAATTACTGCAGCTCTCCATTTGTTCCTATCATTCATTGTGAAAAACCCTTACGAATAGGAACAGAACCAGCATCTCAATCCCACCGCCATCGTCTTGCAGTTTGCTACCGACGATTGGTTTTGATGGGTTTTGTGTAACATGAGACTGAGATCCCCAGCTGTCTTTTTCATTTGTTCTACACTCTGTACGTTTTTTTTCTGGACGACACTGAGAAGTGGCTATGATGAAGTACTTGCAAGAGTTTAAGCAAGCAAATGTAACTACATAGAGCCCTTGTTGAAAGCGTCTCAGCTCAAATATTGCGAAAGGTTTCTGTCGTTAGTGGATTTTCACTTATATTTACAATAGGTAAGTAAAAATCGATTTTTTTACAAAGCCTTTGAACACATTTTATAGTCAAAAATCAGGTTTTCTCAACTCAAGTAAGTGAATCAATGGATTGCCTAAACTAATTAGTTCTTGTATGTTAGAACTGTCTTACCTATCCATTTTTGAGGTCGTCTGTTTGTATATGTGTATTGTGTATTGCACACCATGCGCCCTACTTGACGACGTCTGAGACTGGAAGCTGCTCTTTCCAGCAATTTCTCCTTGTTTCTTCATCTCTTTTGGTTTAATTGATTATGTATTGTTCAGGTCAGTAGTACTCAGTTCCACAGTTTATTACGGTAGAAATCGTTTTACTGAAGACTTCCAAAAGGTGTCGTCGGTTGCCGCGCGTAGTGTGTAAGCTCACATATTAGGTCACAAGGTCACAAATGGCTTGATGATGATCATTCATTTATTTGTTTCATGCATCAGGCATTAAATAATGTCAATTAACATCGTTGCTTCATGGAAATATGATACAACTATTTATTTAGATTCCACTTTTCTCTAATTTCAGTTGTAAAAAATTCAAAAGAAAGTTTAATTTGTCACAAAAAATCCTTCACATACCTTCGCTCATTTAGTCCATCTTTAGCGCTCAAAGAAACTCTTAATACATCAATCACCTATTCTTTGAATCATAAATCTTTTTGTTCAATCAAAAGTACATAAATATTTGACAACTGGTTAGAAAGTTCAATCCAATATATTCAGCACCAGACATCATTTATTTCCCCACCTCATTTTTCTTACCTACATTGTTTGATTCAATGGCCAGCTACCAATCATCTCATTTTTATTCTTGGGTGTCTTCCTGGATTCCTCCACAAACCATCTTTTCTTTTGTTTCCTCACCCAATCATACAATCGTCTGAACGTCCGCTGAGCTCCTTCGTTCTCTTGTTCGTTTCATAGAATTAGTTGAAATTGGGATTCTGATTGAATCAGTCATTTTTCTTTGGTTGGCTATCCATTTTCGGAACGGCTCGATTGACTTACATTTATGTACATCTTGAAAAAGCTGACAGGAGCCAGAAATGCTTCTTCTTGGCTTTCGCAAGTCCCATTTTTAAAGCTGTAAGAATCACAGTACCTCAGCTTTTCATCGAAATTGATAAGCATCAGGTTAGTATATAAATCTTGCACCAAAATTATAAAAAATGTTTTGAAAATATTTAAATGTGGCACACCACTGACTGTTTTTATCATAAACATTCAAGATTATTTTGGCTTGAAGGCAAAAAGTTTTAAGAAATCGAAAATCATAACTTGTCGTAGAAATGTCCGATCAGCACGAATTTCTTCCACATATGAAGAGCATGTACACCAAAAGCAAACTAAAGTAATTCCCACTTTCTAAGTGCTTTTTTTGATCAGCTTGTACTATTGCAATGAATATATTTTGCTTTGAGTACTCTTATGAAGTAGAGTATTCCCTGCTCAGAATATATCAAACAAAAATTTTTTGAAATCAGAAAAAATTAGCAATTTTTTCAATTTTTGGCGCAAGAAATATGTATCATCAAAATACATGCTAAATATCTAATACGAGGAGTTCCGGGGAAGACTAAGAAACCCAGTATTACTCCGTCTAAGAGAAGGAACGAAAGGAGTGAAAAAGTAACATATGTAATTTTCAAAATTTAAATGTGATAGCAATGAACACATGTGAAAGGCTTAAATTCTGAAGAAAATAATGCACATATCTAGAAATTTTTTCATCATTAGGATACTTTGATTGGCAAAAATGCAGATAACACTTTTGATGAAAACGCGATAAAATGCGCATTTGTTTTGAGGCAGCTATATAATCAAACAAAAGCTATAGGAATTTTTTAAAAAATTAACTCAAGTATTCCCGATTGTAGTACTTATTTTGTTGCTTAGTTCTTCCTCAAAGTAGTGATGATGAAGTTTAGAACTTGAATGGAACAATCAAATAGAAAATTCTCCGTTCCGTTCAACTTAGCTTAGCTTTATGTATATGCGGCTGCTAGCCATGAACATAGCCATACATCAAAATAATGACTTTAAAATGTACTTCCGAGAAAAGTACGTGAGTGAGGAAGCTTTTCTGGTGTCTAGCACCCACTGTAAAATGATATAATGCGTATTGTATGATTCCGCATTCTACTTGAGTGTTTTTCGAACAAATGACTGCATCGTCTCCATATTTCAAAGCTGAGGCAAACAACTGCTGAAATTCCAGCAATGTTTCTTTGGAAGAAAGAAAAGACCAACATCTGCGTTGCGTTTCAGCCACTTACTGATGCTTGGTTTTTTTTCTGGAGAGCAAGGAGCACTTAAGCGAATTATTTTATTGCTTTGTAATTTTTCGAAGAAGATAAATACCAAATGTTTGTATAGCTCTTGTGCTAGGACAACTGTGAAAGTGCTTAAATATCATTAGAAAAGTGTCAGAAATAAAATATTTTTGCGCATTTCTGCGAAATCTGAGATCAGCTTTTCTTTAATTTTTGGGCGCTATGTGGAAATTAGCAAGGCCAATTTCCACAAAACGAAGAAGATGCTTGCGTATACTTGAGTTGATTGCTAGAGAATTTCTATATTCCTTGATTATATAGCTTCCTCAAAACAAACGCACATTTTAACTCATTTTCATCAAGAGATTCATCTGCATTTTTGCCAATCGAAGTATCCTAATGATAAAAAAATTTTCTAGACATGTGCACTATTCTCTTCAAAGTTTGATCCTTTCACATGTGTTCATTTCTATCACATCTGGATTTTGACAGTTTTTTCAGTCGGTTTGACATAAAGTGGAAGTGAAAACGTCATTAGAAAAAATAAGAAGCATGTGCTCGTTGATCATCATTTGTCTGCACTAGAAAAACGAGAATCAGCGAAGCCAAAAGACAAAAGTTCAGACTTTTATGGAATCTATTTCCAAAAATCCGCATTTGATAAGGTATAGAATTTAACGGACGTAATCGCTACCAATTATTAATTGTCTGGGACCCGAAATTTTTATTAGGTTCATGATATAGGAAAATGTATGTGAAACTACTTTGTGATAATGAATCACTGAGCTCAATCAATTTTTTTTCATATTCTGTTCATAGCTTTGTAAAATTTCGGAGAACAAAGGATGACGCTGTGCGATTAGCAGAAAGATGTGTCACCCCCCCCCCCCCGCCTCTCTTCCTCCGAGGGTATTTTTCATAATTGTTGTTGTGCAATTTTATAAAAAAACGGAAAATTTGGCTAACATTGTTTATGAACTTATAGTTGTCAGCCGGTTGTAAAAACGATGCCAATGATTCCAAGAAAAAGTAAAAATAAAGAAAAATTTGCGCGCATACTGAGGTCTCAATTAGGCCAAGTTTCTTCTCTCATCAACTCGATTTTTGATCTCAGTTTCTTTTTTATACCCGGGCTAAGTGGCAAAACTTTACACTTCGCAAACCAACAAAATCTTCAGAAATCTGAAACAACAAAAACCGGTCTGCTTAGGTAATGAAATTCGATACATTTTCTGGCTTCTCACTTCTGCAAAATGTCGCCAAGAGCTTGATTTCTCCGACCTGCAGTTCTGGATTTTCGTTAGTCCAGTAGCCTCAAGATAGTCTCTAATTTTCCCATGGTCAAATAGATTTTGCCATTTTGAGGTGTTTTTCTTATTGTAAAATTCATAAAATAGTAAGAACCGGAACCTGCAGAAAGATCAGCTTCACAAAATTATTTTTGCCCATAATTCATTCCTTTCCAAAAATGCAAATTTCAACTACTTTTTTTCGTAGATAAGAGTAATGTTTCAAGAATAAAGTACTGCGGCTATCTCCTTCTTTATAATTGATCGTCTGAATGTGGAAAAAGTCTTTCGAGTCGAAGTTATGTGTGAAAAGTTTTCTTTGATCACATGAACCGGGTGAAATCCGAACCCTCGCTGAGCTACTGCTTGTCTATCGTCACTCACAACATCTCTCAGGTTGTCGATCAGAAATCATGATTTATTTTCCATTAATTTGTCATTCTGTTGTCCTGTTATTATCTATAGTTTCTGAAAATCCTTGTTTTGGTTCAGCTTATAGTGTATGAGAACTTTTAGGCACCTTGTTTACGGCAATTTTCAGAAAAAATAAAATCGAAGTATTTCAGTTTTTCTCGTCCAACTTCGCCTCAGTCAGGCACTTCGCTTGGCTCAAAAATACAATTTTCGTTTGAGTCACTACTTTCACGAGCTGATCACTTGGATTTCGTAAGTTGTTGGCTTTAAAATTTCCTATAATTTTTTGTTCATAATCGTTTTATTTTGTGTTGTCATTTTTTCAAATATTATTTTTTATCTCTAATTTGATGGCGAAATAACAAATATCTAGATGCTCGGACAAGTAACTCGTCGTCACAGTAATCTGATAGAGGACGCTAAACGCGATCGTGGACCGCCAAAAAATTGGTTAGGAAAGGTAAGTTTTATTTTGATTGACCACAATTTTGTATTTTCAACAAATTTGAATTAGCATAAACAAGTTATTGATTCTTTGAAAATTCGAGGTAGTTTTTTTTGTTTCTTTTCATTGCGGTCGCCTAATGGGGAAAAAATGGTAATGCTGAAAAGAAGGTCGGTGGGACTTCTAACATGCATGTACCGTATTACCGACCGTAGTCACGAGAGCCGAATCGTGGCATTTTATACCTTATGCTCCTTTTTGCTTGATTTGGATAACAAGAAACAAAAAATGATGAATAAATAATTTTTATACGACGTTAGGTGACGAAACTACAAATTCCTCAACACGCCTGCAGGGTTATGGTAGCATGCGTAGCGGTGCAAAAGGGTCGTTCAGGGTCAAGATCATGATGTAAAAGTGATTTCAGGATTATGAGTCATGTGTATAATGGGAACCAAAATGAGTATGGTGATCTATATTCGGAAATTGAGATTTGTTTTACAATTTCAAAATAAATGGTTGCCAATACTGTAAAGAATACTTGGAGTACTGTAAGTTAGACTGGATATTGTAGGTACTAGACGATAGCGCATAAATTCCCAATCTGTGACTTTACAAGCTTAATTTTTGAGACAATTCTTCGATTTTGTGGCCTTCATAACAAATCGAAGCGTTAAAATTAGTACATGTCAAAGACAAACGAAAAATTAGAAAAACTCGTGCCGCCATCAATCACAGCAAAATTGTTTACCGTTTAAAAAACTGACACAACGGTGTTAAAGCATGCTCTCAAACCAGTTGTTATGGGAGGTCTGTTGAGCTCGGGGCGCATTATGAGCAATTCTAAATAGTTTCTAACAGGCAATTTTTCAAGATAAATGTTATTGGATGTGCGGGAAACGTACAAGTCATTGTCCTGGCACTCTTTGGAGTCGTGGAATGTTCTAGAAACTTGTCTTCAGAAAGTTTTTCTAGGCTATACTATGATTGTAAGTTTGGTAAAATTATATTTGACCCGAAAAATCTCTAGATCGTATACTTTTGATCTTTTTGCGCAAATAAAACTTCAAAATTGCGGCAAATTTTATTTTGCACGACCAAAAGTGCTCAAAAAGATGAAATTTTTTGGTTTTTCAAATGATTTCAGAGAGTCAAACCTTACTTTCTAAAAAGCTCCCACATGAAAAATTTTTTTCCAACTTCAGCTTATTCACCGCATCCGAGAGAAACTAAAGGTAAGTGTGGTTCTTAAAACTTGAAACTCAAACCACTGGAGTGGATATGTGTACGTTTTATCAGTTTATAAGGTCCTGACACGATAACTAAACGGCAAACTGGGTGAGCGAATTTCTCGCTAATAAAAAAAATAATGCTTATAAACCTCATCACCTCATGATTTTCTAACAAGCTACTCTACAAAACTTTGATATAAATTTCCAAATCCGGCTCGGCTGGGAGAATTCGTAAGTCTCGTGTTGCCATTATCGAATATTATAATAAATAACTGTCTAATCAACCCTCTGATTTTTTAAAACATAAAAAGTAAATTTTAATCTACAAAATCAATCAATACCTTTATTTCAGGCAAAATACTACTATGACAAGTATAACTGTCGCTACTTTGCTCCATTCCTTCTTCTCTTCGTCTATTCCATTCTTGGTGCATGGATTTTCTATTTAGTAGAGTACAACAATGAAAAACAAATGAAAGCGTGAGTTCAAAATTTACAAAAGTTGAAGTAAGAAAATTAATTAGTGTTTATTTATTATTTACAGAAAAGAGCAATGGGAGTTGGATCGATTGCGAAATAATACATTCCAAAAAATTGCTGGGTTATTACAAGCAAATAGGAGAAGCGAGAGGGTGTCAAAATCCAGGCAAGACTATCGATCAATAATTGATCTTTTGGAAAACAATATAATATAGGAACTTATTGTTATGGTATGAAAAAGAATATGAAAGAGTGAAGCTCCCAGAAGCTCTCGAATGGAATATGTGGGGTGCCTTGTTCTATGTAGGAACGGTATTTACCACCATAGGTAACATTTCTTATTCTTCCAGTTGATATTTCCACTATCTAAATTTTTTGTAGGTTACGGTAACATCGTCCCGAGAACCGTGCTGGGGCGAGCCTTATCGGTGGTATATGCCATTATAGGTGAGTATTAAAAGGCTAATCACTATATTCACTTTTTTTTACTATTTTTACGGTCACTATAGCTCAGCGGTGATCCTAAATGGTATTTTAAGGGTGGAGACAGAAGAAAAGGGTCCACTTTTATGATTTTGTAGAGCTAGCTACAATTCTACAGTCTAGAAGCATCAATCGTTCTTGGTTACTGTAGGATTACGGTAGGAACAATTCCGCCTTTTGCCATGATGAATTAGCTGCTCAAATTTGATGGGATGGGAGGGGGGGGGGGGGGTTCATACCTTACAGTTTTCAGGAATTTTAACGTGTTTGATTTTATATTCATACAATCAAGTTTCTGACTAAAATTGAAAAAATAGCTGTCACAGTACACCTACCGTAACCTTCAAACTGGAAATTATGAGACCTGAATTTTTTTTCGGAATCGGCTGCTTTTACTTAGTTAAATTATCAGTTTTTTAGTTTTAGAGTTTTTATTGGGAAGAAAATTTGGTGATCAATGGCCGAGAACTCTCTTCGATGCTCACCGTAATCCTATAGTAACAAAGAGATAGTTTGTAGATGTGCAAAATGGTACCTAAAGGTACAACGAGGGTGAGGTGAAAAGCTTTTCTGATTTAGCTAGAGAGATCTATTAGTAATTATTAGAACAGCTGGCTCTTAAAATAAAATTTTCGATATCTAGTAAAATATCCATCCTCCCATTCAAAAGCTGCGCTAGAAACTACCAAGAACAGAGTTGCGTACAAATTCAGTCACTCACAAATCGAACAAATTTCTGTTCTCCTCGTAAAACATAGATCAGCGAGTTTTTTGGTGTATGTCGTTTTTCTGCTTACACAGCATTGACGTTCACCGTTATTGTAAGACATCTGATATGCGAACGAAATTCTACACTCTCTTTATGACCGATGAGCAACTGTGCAAAAGCTCCTTGCACAGAATTTTTTTGAGAGGGGATAAGAGCGCAGAAAGGTGACAAAATTCTTAGAATTCTCTGAAAATTGCAAGTTGTAGTCATCGACCTTGAAACTACTGAAAAATTGATAAAAATGAGGAAATAAAGAATTTAGGAGTATTGTCATGTTACTTCCCTTTGCAAATGTTTTTTTAGGTATTCCACTTGTTCTGGCAATTCTATCAAGGTTTGGTCAATTTCTGGAGCATACAATTACTCGGGCATGGCTTCGACATCGGAAAAATATCAAGAATGTTCACAGAAAAACCAGCCAACGTCTTCGAAACAACTTACTGAGCAAACCAGGGTAAGCTATTTGATTATTTTTTGGTGGCCCCTTTTTCTTCCATCAAAGTTTGCGAGAGGAGACAAAGAATTATTTTCAGTCCCGTTTCTAGACTTCTTTAGGTGATTCGTTTATTTGCATGTTCAACACCTACACAGAGGGTGAATTTCATAAAGAAAGCCTTACTCATGAATACCAAGAATTTACAACTCAAAAGCAACTAAAGCATACGAATTGATTTTTTTAACATTTTTAAAGATTGTTCTTCAGCTTCGGCGTTCCTTCCCCTTTTTCCCATTTTTGACTGCAGCTTTCGTTTTCACATAAAGCTAAAACGTAATTCTCGAACCTAAGGAAATTCAACAAATTTCGCAGACAACTGACCGGAACATCCGCAGAACGTTTGGAAAAGTTACGCCGGGTCACCTGTGGAAGTTCCGTAGGTGTGCTGCGGAAGTTCCGAACGTTGCAACCACAACAGCAAAAGAGACCACCTAAGCGAGATTTGAACCTTACTCTATTAATTACGAGACTCACCTACTATCCTCTGCACTACGGATGACATGTTTTATAATGCACTCTAGTTGTTGGCAAGGCAACATCGTACGAGACAACACATTCAAAACACTGCGGAAGTATGTACTGGCATGTCGAAGTGCTGCGGAATCGCTGGCATTTTGCGGAAGTTCCGCAGCTCTTTGTAAAACGTCCTGCGGAAGTTCCCCTTTTCAAAGTTTCCACTTTTGCAACAGTAAACAAAACCCTGCGGAACCGCTGCGAATTTCGCTTGTCCTGCGGAAGTTCCGGTGAATTGTCTTAGTTGTTATAGAGCTCCCATACATGTCTACAAAATACATTTTTTTCCAGAAAGGTCCTTGAAGCTTTGGAAGAAGGCCGACTATCACCAACACCGTCAGAACACAAAGAAGGCTTAATAGAGGATTCGAGGTGACTCGCATTTGGCATTCTGTTGTTGTTGTTTTTTGGTCACTTTGTTTGTAAAAAATAATACATTTCATACGTATAAAGCAATCACTTCGTAATTTTATGCTAAAACTTTCTGCCTGAATTTTTTTGGAATTTTCTTTCCCATTTTTTCTATTAGACTCCATCAAACAATCAAATGTTCACACTTTTATGAATTATGAAGAAATTTTTGCAGAACCATCCCAATCTGGCTGGCACTTCTCCTGTGCATTGGTTGGGTGTGCGGATGTGCGGCATTATTCCTTATCTGGGAGAAACGATGGACGTTCTTTACCAGCCTCTACTTCTTCTTCATTTCTTTGTCCACTATAGGACTAGGTGAGTCGGATTGAATAGAGCGAGCTTTTTCTTCTGTGATTGGAATTCATGCTGCTATCCCTCAAAGAGCAGTGAAGGATTGGAACTATTTGAATCTCAGCAGGATCAAACTGTTTGAAACCTTTGGTTGGATTATCTGAACTGGAAAATTCCCGCCAACACTGGGAGTTGCTAATATTTAAGAAAAACCTACACAAACAGTTCTACTACCATTTCCTCGCATATAGTTGACAAGCTATTCTAAATCCGTGTGAAAAAATTTGACTTTGAATTTCGCGCGCTTTCGCCAAATCGTGTTTGTGCACGTCAGCCTTGTAATAGCTTGTTGTAAGTGAAAATTTCAAGGAGTGGACATGTACGTACATGTCAGCGCGTATTTATAGTCTAGTACATTTCGCGATCACTACCGTCAGTGTCTGCGGTGCTGGCAACAGTTGCGCGTAAAAAACTTCCGATTGACGCACATTTTTTGTTTTTGGCCATTTTTTTTTTGTTGCAACAATGTCGTTGTCAACACAAAAACCCTGGACCAACAAGACTAAAACGGCGTCATCTTCTCTGCTTTTTTTCTTTTTGACAAGGTCTTCAGCTTGACATTTGCCATTTGTCTCCCCCCCCCCCACTCCACGGCATTCAGTGAAACAAAGGTTCTTCTCTTAGGTGATGTTGTTCCGGATCATCCGCACATGCTGATCCTGATGTTCTTTCTCGTAATTATTGGATTATCGATCGTTTCTATGTTACTTACTGTGATACAAATCAAATTTGAAGAATGTCTTTACAACTTGATGATGAGGATGCAGGTAAGGTTACTTACTCTTTGCCTTTGAATGTCTACGAAAATTTATTTTTTTTAGGAAGAATATCAAAAAAATTTGGCCAATGGTACACCTTTCGATCACGAAGAAATTCGCAAAAAAGCTATGGAAGAACAGCCATTTTTTATGAAGTTCTTTGGACCAGATTTGATGTCCGATGAGCAGCGGGAGAAAATCGAGGAAACGGTAAGCCCCCCCCCCCCCACCTTTGAAAAATTTATTCAACAAAGTTTCTATAGGCGCAGCAGTTCGAGAAGATCGTACGAGAGACAAACACAAAGAACATCCAAACGGAACCACCTGCGTTCTTCATGGCTGGAACACAGATGGATAATCTGGCTAATGTAGGTCCTAGCAAGAAAGACCGTATGACTTGTGAGGTCATATTTCTAGAGCTATCATAGCTGAGATTATGATTATAGAGCATCGCTTGCGATCCAATGTCTGACAATGGACGGGTTGCTAACGGTGAAACTCAATGGTCTAGGTGAGTAGTGACCCAGATCGATCAATACACATTTCTTACACGTTTAGGCAATTTTCCACTACCGCGCCTGATGAAATCACCTCATATGGTGATGATCGTGACTCGATATCTGACGCTACAAGTCTTCCATTAGATTCGATAAGGTTTGAGCGCAAAATAGCGAATGAGTCACGATTGAAATGCCTAACGAGAGAAATGCTAGTTAGGCTGCTTCCAGTTGCCTGCGTGCCGCCGCCGTGCCAGCGCCGTGCCAGAGCCATGTGCACGCATTTTGTGCTGGTTAATCAATGTTTCGGCACAGTGCTAGCACGGCACTGGGGCTGCCTCTAACGCTGGATAACTCTAGCCTAGAAAATTAGTTTGTTAATGGAGCAGATTATAAATTGAGCGCATTAACGACTCGGCGAAAAGAGAACCTCATATACCTTATTTATAAGAATGAGACGATTGAATAAATGACCAAAGTAAGATAAAAATTAGAAGGGCTCGATTACCGAGTGAGTAGATTTGCGTATTTGATGAAAACGAGAAAATGAAACACTTGCAGCTACGCAGATGCTGCTCATACACCTGGAAGCCAGAGGAGAGTTAATGTTAATTTTTCTTCCACAGGGTGAGTTTAGGAATATCTTCACAAATAATTTAGAGAGATATAATAGTAGAAGAAAAGCATTGCGTACCGCTCGATATGGTTTAATCTCAGGAGATGGATGTCCTTATAAGAGAAACGCATGCGAGAGCGGCGCGCGAGCGGTTCGCTGCGAGTCAGTCTATTTGGGTGGAGGACTATATGTCGCCGAATGTGGAAGAGTCCCGTGCAGAATTCCTGCAGGAACGCATGTCCGCGCATGTACAAGGGTGCCTACTTGTCGCAAATGAGCGCGGGGACCGCCCTTTTTCGGTGACAGATAGTCCTCTACCCAATCTATTTCAACCAGATATTATTGAAAAAGGACATAACTTATATCAATGCATTAATGAATCTAAAGTGAAATCCCAGATGAAGCGAATGGCCGCCATTAGTTCTCCAACGATGACTCTGCTCGACCGTCGCGTTCGCGCGTGCTTCGCATGATAATTTGTCTTCGTTCGGGAAAGAACTTTATCAGGGGTAGAGGCGAAAACCAGTTTTTAGGTACTACTATCTATGTAATGATTTTGTGTCGTGAATACATGAAAATCTCCAGCTCATGACGCTCTAACACGATTAGCATATGTCTACTGAAAGGCTGCTTTGGTATTCTTGCTTCAGCGCCGTCCTAGCGCCGTACCGGAACATCAATCAATATTACACTGTGATCCACTCAAGTTCCGGCGCGGCGCTAGCACGGCACACGGGCGACTCTACACGCTGCCTGTGACTTTCATAATATGAAACTGATAAAGCCAGGGGAAAGCCCGTGACTTTTAATCTATGTTTTTCTCATCATGCTTATCACGCGCTTGTTTTGATTTCTTGAGCAATGCGTTGCGCTTGTGCTTGATTTCACGGTTGTGGTAGAATGCATTGTTTTTGTTTGCTTTGCTTCAGTAGCTGGAAGACAAAAATGCCATCGCTTAAGTTGCAAAAATATGCAGTAAATCAATATACAAAATCTATATATATTCTTACTGAGGAAATTACAGAGCCTCCCGACCTGATGGCATGATGTCTGCCGTAAATGAACAAGCACAAACTGATATAGCCCAGTTCCAAATTGATGAAATCATTTTGAGGCTAGCAGCTTTGCAGGTGAGAAAAAAATTATGCAAAATATCTTCAGCTTTGAATATCTCACCTTGTAGGCCAAGGGATCATCATCCGATGATGTCGAAGAAGAAAAAAGTGAGTGGTCATTCCTACCGCTTGGAAAAAGAAGTCAGAAGATAGAAGAGAAAACTGAGGGGAAGAACGTCAAGGACATGACGGTAATGGCAAAAATTATCATTTTATGGATGGCTGTGAATTTTCTTTTATATTGCAGGATAGAGAGATCTTGGCAAAAATGCTGGAAATGATGACAAACGCGACAGAGGTGGGCAACCTGCCTGAAAAAGTGGTAAAGCTTTTTTTGTTTTTTGCCTCTCCTCCCCCCCCCCCCTCCCTCCCCTTACAAGGTAATGTCAAGAAAATAAGATTACCTGGACTTCCTTGTGTGGGCACTGAATGGGTACTTGCCCAAATAGGGGCCGAAATGCTTCGATCGTAAACGAGAAATTCGACTGTAATTTCTCGCCCAATACCGTACTCTCTTTCCAATCGGACCAATCAACATACTTGAGTACGGTACGCTGATTGGCTCTATTGGAAAAAGAACGATCCGCGCAAAAGTTAAGACGCAAATTCCCGTTGAATTTGATGGGCATTTTTATACGCAAAAGTAAACCATCCGATTGTTACCGCACTCCTTCCAAAGAACCAATAAGCATCCTCCAGTTACGGTACTTTGATTGGTCATCTCGGGAAAAGCACAGCTCGAGCGAGAGATCACAATTATCCTCTATTGAATATGCAGAGGATTTTTGCCCTCAAATTAAAAATCTATGCGATGACCAATTTTTTTCGTTTTTTTCAGGAATTGGGAGTCAATACCGTAATCCAGCCCACAGCGTCATTGGGTGTATCCACGGATCCGGTCACAAGCAGGACCAAATCTATGGAAACCGACGTGAATGATGTTACCAACAGAAGTATGGCAACTGATCGTGTTGAGCTGATGGATAAAACCGTTGAAACGTCGAGGTTGGTGGGGAAAAATCGATTATTGATTGGTACAGTAACTGCGCTTACTGTCGCTCTGCCGCGATTGGCTGTTTTGGCCACGCCTCCCTCATAAACGATATTTGCAGAAGCGAACGTGTCGAGCCGAAACAGTTGTCCTGGACAGAAAAAACACATCGTGACATGATGACGTCACCAGTTTTACGTCGTCTCCTGCTGAAAACATCTGCCGCTGACACATCTCATGACTACGATGATGAATCGCAACAAACATCGCTGATTATTGATCGACCAGCACCGGATACGGATCGATCGATACAAACATCGCCAAGTGAGCAGCGACGAACTACTCGTTCAGTACAATTTGCACCGGATTGTATCGAGCGAATGACGTCACCAATACAGAATGGTTGGATCAATCGATCGCTTCAGACATCTCTTGATGATACGTTCTGCCGGTGGGGATTTTCGCTGGGTCCGCCCACTATGTACGAGTTTTACCGTTGTTTTTAGGTCGCAGCAAACATCGCTGGATATGATTGATGAGATGGCGGAAACTAGCCATGTCGAATTTACAACCACGGGAGTTGGTCCGGATCGAGAAGGTGAGAAATTCTATCCGTAAAGCAGAGCTGATTTTTTTATGGGGGGGGGGGGGGAGAGAGGGGGAATTCTCTTCAACCGGAAGTGCATTGGCTTATTGAGTGTCTACCTAGAACCTATTGAAGAAATCCTTCAAATTTTTCACGCGACCTTCTAAATTATGGAAGGGGCTGGCGTGCGCCAGGGGGCGTGTAAGGAGACATGTAAAGACACAATTTTGACCTTTGTAAATTTTCATTGAGGTCAAGATTGTTCACTTTTATGAAGTTTAAATTTGTTATGATTATTTACAGGCAAAAACAAACTAACAGCACAGATTTATCTCACAAAAAATCGTTACCCAATTTTGAGGGGAGGGGGGAGGCGGAAGGCCAGTCGCGTCTACTCGTTCAATTTTAGCTTCTGGCTACGGTAGAAATATGTATGTATCTGCTCGAAAGCGTCAAGTTTCTCATGCAAACATGCCATTTTTCATATTTGTTTTAAAAAATCAGACTTATATAACTGACTTCTCAAATGTGGTTTGTCGATTTATTGATTTTCAAATGTTAAACTCCTTAATACGTTTTTATCATTTACAGAGCCTGGCCTATACAGTCCGGGTACTGATTGGTGTGCCGTTAATGGCAGCATGTACGATAATCATCGTATGCCTGGAAGCATGGAGACCAGGTAAGTTTTACTGTAATTACCGTAATCCCCTTGAGTTGGGCTTTTTTCAGCACGCAGTACTCTCCACCAATGTCTAGGTCGGTGACGACACAGAACGCGGATCACCTTAGTGTAGGGTGAGTTTTGCACATTTTTACAAAATATATCAATAAATGAAAAAATAAATCAGTGAATAAATCAATAAGTGTTTTTTGCAGTAGAAAGGCAAGATCGAGCTCGACATCAGGGTTGGGCACAAGCATCTGTGACGATGATAATCGACAGGTATCAAAACTATGAAAACGCTTGCAAATTTTGCTGAAAAATTTTCTGATTTTTCGAAAAATCGACTACAAAAACAACTACATTGATGTCCTAAAAACAACTTATTGTTATAATAACCCTTTTCTAGGAAGTTATAATTCAAACTGATGACTCCTATCTAAAAATTGCAAGACGTCTTGATGAATACCGAACGAACCACACCCAGTTCCTTCCCGTCGTCGCTGCATCCCCACTTGAGTCAAGGGATATCCAGCCGTTCAAGTACGCACTGAAATTGAACTACACACAGTATTAGTCTTCTTACTTGAATTCTTTCTAGGACCGACCGACCATCCGAGCATCGAGGTTACTTCATGGATCCAAAAGCTTTGCAAAGGCGACGATCATCTGTGAAAAAAGTGCGAAGACCCAGCTATAAGAGCAGGTAAGTCACCCATGAATTTATCTCTTGCTTTCAACTTTCCCCTTCTTTAACAAAAATATTTCAAATAACGCTTACGAACGATAGGTATCGATGAAGCTCTTCTTTTCCTATTCCTTTGATAGGTCTAATGATTTGACGTTTCAGCAATGCCGAAGCTCAAACTGGTTCATCGATGGATCATGAACAATTGGATCCATTATTGGTAAGATTTTTGAAAGCGGCATATTGGTTAATGTATTAGGTTGGTGCAAAAGTTCGTTCACACCATTTTCAAAAATTCATAACTCCTGAAATTCTCAACGAATTTGTAAGAGCAAAATTTTGCCTAAGAGAGGAACTCATGCTCTTTGCACCTGTTCCTGAGCTGTTCATTAATGTATATAAATGAAGGAGGTAGAAGCTCAAAACCAAAATCACTCAAAATTTGAATTTTTCGTGTAGGGTCATAAAAAATCGGAGACTTGCAACAAAAATCGGAGCAGTCAGTATTGTAGGTTCTTTCACCAGCTCTTTCTAACAGTGCAAAGTTTGCGCCGATTGAGCGTCTCTAATAAGAGTTATGATTTTCGACAAGCAATACAAAAGGGCGAATTTGATTTATTTTGGCATTTTTCAGGAAATTCATAACTTTTCACAGAGACGCTCAATCGGCGCAAACTTTGCACTGTTAGAAAGAGCGGATAAAAGAACCTACAATACTGACTGCTCCTATTGTTATCGCAAGTTTCCGATTTTTTATGACCCTACACGAAAAATCAAATTTTGAGTGATTTTGGTTTTGAGCTTCTATCTCCTTCATTTGTATACATTAACAAACATTTCAGGTACAGATGCAAAGAACATGAGTTCCTCTCTTAAGCAAAATTTTGTTCTTACAAATTCGTTGAGAACTTAAAGAGTTATGAATTTTTGAAAATGGTGCGAACGAACTTTTGCACCAACCTAATAATTTCTTCCTCTGAGATATGCAGACAAATTCCACAGAAGCTTTCAGCTTTGAAGCTTAACCATCATTTCAACAGCATAACTGCTTCCACTATTTAATCAAAACACTTGCTTTCGAAACTGTGGTCATACGACTTTGATCCAAGTTCGCACTAAAACATGATTTTAGGCAGGACTTCTCTAACGAAGGGTAGGAAAATGAATGGAATGAAAATAGGGAGAGGGCACAGAATTGGAGGGGGAGGGGGAAAGCCTAGTTCTAACAGTGGAAATAATCTGAACATAGAAGTGTATTCAATTAAGACGGATTGATGTGTGAGAGGAGGTGAGGGACGCAAGGGAGAAGGAGAGGGGGGGGGGGGGGGAAGAATAAAAATCAGCGATATAAATTATGCAATGTGTCCTAAGAAGTGTATCGAACGCCTACAACGAATTATTCGTCGCTCTTACTGTAGGATTACAGTGAGAGCTACCAGCACTGTCTCCATTCTCAATAAGCTGCCATTCCACAAAAACTCTGTAGATTAGTGATGTGATGAGATGCTGATTTTAACAACTTTGCACATTTACAGTAATCTAGATTACATAACCGGATGATTACTGAAACCCGCTGCCACCGTATGCGTTTCGGAATTTCTAAGCTAAAGATTGGGAAAACAAAAAGCTCATGGAATCAGCAAGTAATCAACCTGATGCAAAATTCAAAATTTTTTGAGTTTTCGAGGCATGTTTATTTTTGGCTTAAATTCTGTGAATGTTCTCACAGTAATCAAGAACGAGGTGATTAATTTGGTACTGTGAAGTTTAGTCGGAAGCAGCCCTACAGTTTGTTGAGTAAAGTTCCACAAAGACTGATGAAACAGGCCTACTTCTGGAGCAAGCAAATGAGGTCCGACCAGGGCTCGGCACGAGGTGGCTAGTTAAAAATGCAAAAAACGAAGTCCCCCTTGACTTTTGCGAATTTTTACGCAGTCCCCTTTGACCCTAGACCAGGGCTCGGCACGAGGTGGCGTCCCGAAATTGCAAAAAATGAAGTCCCCTTTGACTTCAATAAAATTACGATATCCGCTACGAGATATTCGAAGAGAAAATACATGAAAAAGAACGGACCAAAGCAACAGCAGAAAAGAACGAAAAAGAATCATCGAACACACGCGATGATTTTCATACTCTCCGGAATGGCGGCATGATGTATCCATCGTGCAGCAATACGCGTCTAGAGCAGCCTTTCCGCGGCCATTCAAAATTTTCAAGGGGCTATAACTAAGCGGGGAGAAGGGGGTTTGAGGCGGTTTAGGAACCACTTTGTAGGATTTGGGGTATAAATGAAAAGTATGTAAAGAAAGTAGAAAAATTATGTGAGGGAGGAAAAATTTATGACTTTTTCTTTCCTAAGCCACCTCAGGTGGCTATCCAGGTGGCTTGAAAGCCACCTAACTCCGAAAAAAGTTGAGCACGCCTTTAGTTCACATAATTTTTTCATAATTTTTCATACTTAGTCCTAACTCCCCATTGTCCATCTACACACCTATTTTGGTGTCATTTCATCCTCACTTCGCTGTAAACAAACCTTTTGTTTATTTGCTAGCGGCATGCCGGCAGCGTGCCGGCCGCAGGTCGAAAGACAACGTTATGCTCTTCCGCAAAAACGATATCCCCTTTGCTTTTTCCCCAAAAACGATATCCAGCTTGCTTGCTAAGCCACCTGTGCCGTGCCCTGGGTCCGACAGCTGTTAGCTTTACGTTTTAGCTCTGATTAACCAACATTATTACAGCATTATAACAGCTTGACCGCTTTGACTGGTATACATATATTTGCTTCGTAAGTGAAATAGTGACTTTGATTGCGTCAATGGAGGTTTGCTAAGTTAGCGAGAGCTGTGGGAAAATAGAAAGGAGCTAAAGACCATTTTCGATTACAACCACAAATTCAAATCAGGAATTTGAGCACTCATCTCCAGCTTATTTTGCTTCATAGCAATCTATTACCCATAAACACCTTACTTCTCGCCTTAATGCAGACAATGAGTGTTTTATAAAACAGGAGACTAGCTGTTTGTGTTCCAGAGTGTCTCACAGAGGCGAAAGAGACTTTCAACGATTCTACAAAAACCCGCAGAAGCGGCTGTGGTTTAACTCCGTATGTTCTACGACATGACCAGCTTTTCCTTAGTTCTGCGTGTCCATTTTTTAGTTCAGTTCTTCAGTTGCTTGGGTTGATATTTACCTACCATAGCTCATTTTTACCACTTACCCGCGTAGCTCATCTATAGTCTGTCTCATTTGCAGAGTCCCTTTTGCGTGCAAGTTCATACGCAACGCGAGCGTCTTGCATTCTTCTATCATAAAGGCTGATTTGACTGGTCAAGGCAGGCTCTCAGGTAGAAGAGCTGCGCGAGGCACTCGCGATGCGGATAACCTCGCTGAACGGAGACACTCCAACTGAGACCGACTGTAATATCTCAACAATCTCTCCAAATGTAATCCATTTCAGAAACAAAACGAAAGAAGTCGATCGATCTCACCCGAATCTCCCCCGCGTCCACGTCGGGTGTTAGCCCGGGTCGCCTCGCTCCCGATCGGGGTTGCCCGGGGAAAAGTTAGCGAATTTGTGGCCAAACACGAACGGGGCATTCCAAATCCGGCTGTGGTCCGTGACCGACCCGTTCGCATCGTTCGGCAGTATGCTATGGTTGACAAGGCTACATGAGGGTCTTGTATGGATATTACGAGTGGTATAGTTGACTGCACGGAATCGACCGGGCTGACGCCCGCGAGCGTGTCTTATCTCTTTCGGGCTAACATTGGCATTCGCGCGCGTGAGTCATCATAGCGCTCGTACTCGGCAGCCGCGTTGCAGGCACGCTCGCGTGCGTTCAGCCTACAGCGATTTGGGCGATTTTGTGCAGTCGTTTGTAGATTTTTGGAGTTTTTACTTTTTTTAGGATGTTAAGCATAATCAATAACCAACATACGGGTAAATTTTACCGATTTTTACTATGCACATTTATTGTTAAACAGACTATTGTGTATATGTAATAAAGTTTATTATATAAATGTAACCAGCCGCCGTATTGCCGCTACACGGCCATGTGACTAACGTAATTGTGAAACAGTGTGAAACATAAATCGTTGGAGGAGGTTAATTGAGACGATTGTTAGTTATTCGTAAGTGGGCTCATTTATGCCCCTTTACCAAGCTTTAGCCCATTAGAGCAGCATTTGCGGAAAATCAATAAATCGATAAAGCCAATTAATAGTGAAGATAGTTTACTAACATGGACCTCGCCCCGAAATTCATGGTGTAAAAGCAGAAAAAACAAAATGGAGTCAATCACTGATTTTTGGCAAAATCACCCTATTATGAAGTTCGGCCCAGATCACCTAAGTTTTTCTATCATTTTGAGCCCGTCATAATAATAGACTAATCCAAATCTATTTCACGAGATCGATATAATTACGAAAATATGCATTCAGAAAAACCAAATTTATGGTTCTGCTGGTTCTTCTAGTGGCCACAAGCTTATCATCCCAAAATTTTTTTAATTTTATTGAAAACTCGAAAAATGAAAAATGGCACGAATACGTACATACGTGGATAAAATGACATTTACAACTTATATCCTTCTTGAAATAGCCGTAGTTTGCCTGCCAGCACTGAGAGTATTGAAAAATTGATCCTCATTCTTAAAGAGGACACACGAAAGTTACAAAATATACAAAAAGGAAAAAAAGGTATTGCATCCTATGTCCACTACAATACACCCGGTGAAGACTCATATAGCTTCACTAGTAGTATTGTAGCTGACTGTAGGAATGCTCAGACAGTAAATGTATGAATAGGAAAGATGTGAGATGGAATGGTGTCTGACCTGCCTTCACTGCCATTATATACCTGAACGATAGGCCTGTGGCTATGTGTCAGTCTAGATTCTGGTAAAGGTCAGCTTGACCTGACCTAGGGTAACGACGCCTTTTGAGGTCAGTTACGAACCGAGATTTGATATGTTACATTATCTTATCACGAAAAATGTAATATCAATCGAAAACATAGTTAGGAGAATAAAATTTGACAAAGGTAAACCTACTGAATTGAGATACTTGGTTAATCAATATCCAGGTGAGAATGCTTAAAAATGGAAGGTTTGTGAAAGAGTAGCATTAATTGCATTTCCGCTGATGGTCCAAAATACTAGGTTTTAATATAAGTTATGTTACCTCAATAGAAAAGAAAACCTTCGTAACTTTTTCAGAAAATTATTTTCCTCATTTTCAGTTCTTGTCGAGTACGCCACAACTTAGAATAAGTTTTTTTGATTTTACGAAATTTCCGAATCATTCTTGGCGAAAAATTGCTGGTCGAAGTGCCGCTAGAGAATTGCCTTCATATCTACTGCAAATTCACATAATTAAAGAGGAAAATGATGCGGATAGTCCTCCACCTTTATATAAGCCAGCTAAAGAGCTTCACTGATTTATCTAGAGTTTTTTCAAAGGAAGACAAAAAGGAAGCAAAACTTCTGGATCAATCTTATAATTGGCAAGCACCCAAGATTATTCCTGACTTTCTACACACCACAACCCCAGATTAACGATAAGTCTTCTGTGAGAGTGAACCAATAGGAAGGAAAATCTCGGGTTAACCAAGTTTTAGCTGTCAATATTAGTCATAGTAATCTTCCAAGGTTTAGTTCACAATCAGAGAAGGTCTTTCACTTCTGTTCCTCGTTTGGCTAATTACTGGCATAAAATAAAAAAGCTAGAATTATCGAAGATGGACCTACGACTCACTAAGTATCCACGAATTGTAAAAGTGCCGTCATTTGCAAGAGCTGTGCAAAATGTGCAAAGGTGGATTTTCATCATCAAAAGAGCCCAGCAGTCTGTGAGTATAATCACACTTCCTTAAATGACCTTTTCCTTGGTAAAATGCTTCTAAAAGCATTGAATCGATTGTGATTAGGGAATGAGCTAAACGTGCTCCTAATGTTTGGAGCAAGCACTAAATAGAAGAAATGAGAGAGATGGAGTTTATGTTTACCCTGAAAAATGTAGCATTTTAAAAGAAAAAAAAATTTTTAGTCCCTCACGATTTTTACATTTCATCATATTCACTTACTTTCGAAAAAAAACTTGGAGAAACTGGATGTAGTGAGATTCGTGAGCAAGTGAACGTGGTACTTTATGTTCATCTAAGCTTGTAGTAATCATCAAACACCATTGATTTTACCTTTGTCATTCTCAGCCATTTGCATGTACTAGAGTGAACCGAAAGTGCGTTCCCATTTTCAAAAATTTGTAATTTTTTTACTTTCCCAAACAATTTGCAGATTTTCAATTCAAAAGAAGAAGTCATGCGCTTTATAATACATAGTAGCGTTTGAAAGACCAACCCGCAGAAATCGCAAAGATAGAAGCTGTAGAAAGAAAATCACTCAAAATTTGACTTACCTGTGCAAGGTTGGCAAAAATAATGAAGTTGCACTAAATAACGGAACAAATGTCACTATACATCCTATGACCCGCTCTCTTTATCGGAGTAATGTAATAGAGCTTCTGTGAATTCCAAGCAGTAGCAAAACGGCGAATTTAATTTTTTGGCATTTTTCTCGGCAAGTATAACTCAATAGAGAGCACAATTTTTTGTTTGTTCAGATGTAAAAAGCATTTCACAAGACCTATATTTACCAGCAGATGTTCCGTTCAGAGTGCTTGAATATTGACAATTTTATACTGAAAAATCAAGAATCAGGTAATTGTCTTCCACACTTTCTACCTCCGTAATGTATGCTTGTTAGGAAGTCTTTCAAAGCTATCAGCACATGACTTCCTCTTTTAGGCAAAGTTGTTGAAAATTAAAATTGTGTAAACTTTTTGGAAACTAAGAAGTTATGAATTTCCTTCAATAAACTAGCATTTGCAACTCGATCTGTTTTGAATTTCACGCTTAGACTGGACCTGAACTAGGATTACTTTTTGTTACCCCCAAAAATGGCAGATATTCTAGCAACGAACCAATATCAATTGTTTCGTAAATCGTATAAAATTTGAGCAAGACACACACCACACACAAATCCTTCATCCGTTGAAACTCAAGTGTTTGACATCGTAATTATATGAAAGTTATCAGTTAGGCAACATTCAGTCAATTACGTAAGAATCCTCACATTTTTCTATGATTACAGTTTAGATTTAGATTCTCAACAACTTTCACTTTAAGAAAGTGAATCTCGCTGAGAAAAAACCGCATTCCTGTTTTTACTAGAGCGTTCCCGTTTGCCATACTTGGACAAGAGCTTTTGAGGATGGCACTTGAAGTCTCTCATGCTTTTTGCGTTTACTTTCTAAGAGGACTGTGAAGTCGTATAAAAGCAGACATACTCGATGTCTTCATCATTCAAAGATGTGTTCATCTTACTTATTTACAGCGTCACTTCTAGTTCTTGTATTGAGGTAAGGAATTTACTCTAATGTTGTTTTCCAATTCAGAAAGAAGATATTTTGAAGTTGCAGAAGCTCTGCTCACTATCCCGTTGCACCACTTGGCGGTTTGTATGAAATCTTATCTAACATCTGCTGATTTTGTTCACTTTAGATTATCATCTACCTCTCAGCTTGGCTCCAGCTCATGCTGTGGCTCCCGCAGTAGCTCCAGTGGTGGCACCAGCTGCTCCCGTAGTGGAGCCAGCCTCGATAGTAGCATCTTCCTACCCATATGTAGCATTTGCACACGATCCTGTAGCCGTGGTTCCCGCACCGATTGCTTCACCACTGGCGGTGGCAGCTCCTATCGCTGCTGCTCCGACATCACTGGTGGCGCCGACATCCGTCGTGGTACCAGGTGCCGTGCTGGCTTCAGCTCATGCTGTGGCAGCAACTCATGCTGTGGCTCCCGCAGTAGCTCCTGTGGTGGCACCAGCTGCTCCCGTGGTGGAGCCAGCCCCGATAGTAGCATCAGCTCATGCTGTGGCACCTGCTGTAGCTCCTGTAGTGGAGCCGGCGGCGGTCGTGGAGGCGCCAGCTCCGGTGGTGGTACCAGCTCATGCCGTGGCTCCTGCCGTAGCTCCGGCGGTGGCGCCAGCCCCAGCTTTGCCCTATGCTTCGGTAAGTTGCTTAATTTTTGTCACCAGTGGAATAAAACCATTTTTCTCTAATATTGCAGTATGCCTTCCACCATCCACGAACTGAAGTACACAATACAGTACGCAGCTACACAAAAGGTAGATCTAGGTGTATATGGCTTGAATCGGGCCATGCAATGGCTATTCTTTTAACTTCAGAAACTGGACAACTTTCTGGAACTGCTGTAAATTCCGGCTTCCCGACGCTTGTCGATGGTCTATTCCAGAAGAAACTATTCAACACTAAGAAGTCGAAGGCAATGGAGAAGAACAAACTTTAATAGTATTATGTTGTATTCCTCTCGTACCTTGGTATCCTAAAAATTTTGCTCAATTTTGAAAAACATCAATGAAATTTTTTTGAGTTTGACTACTTTCTAAACAGCTTCGGCTTCTTTTGCAAATTGTCGAAATGTAATAGCAGAATTTTAATCTTTTGATCAGACAGTTTTCAAAACGAAGTATGTTGAGTGTTTAATGGAAGGCTTAAAAACTCAGCGCTTCGTAGAGAGACGGTGGGGAAAATTCATCAAAAATCTCAATCCTTTGGCATAGAATTTGAACCAGTAGCAGAAAAAGTGAAACGTTAGCGCATTTCAGCATCCCGACAAACTGAAGAACTCCACTTCAAAGTTTCGAAGCTGCCTTTTCTTGGACAAATTTTTTGCATACCAAGAAACATGTACATATTGCTGCTCTAAGCGGGTGTGCAAGTTTACGACCAAATCTCTACTACGACTGGCCAGCAACCTTGAAATAAATAAGGTCTACAAATTAGCTTTACATTTAGCAGAAATATACGCTCAACATTATGTTTCCACAAATTTTAGTGAAGATTATTTGAGTCCCCTTGAAAAAAAATCCAACCATTTTGAAAAACTGAGCAGACCAAGAAGATGAAATAGAGTTGCGAAGGAAGGATCGTTGTTGGTTCTTTTTCAAATCAATGGCTCTCAAAAATGGTGCACACTCAGAAAAGACCTGTAACCTTAGGTGGCGCATTTTTTAATCTTCATTCCACATTTTTGCGCGTAGAACAGGTTACAAATGGCCTGTATTCTGAGGCGATAATCAAATTATATTAATTTTTCGTCGACTTCTTAATGCGGATCACATTTGCGCAAAGCTAAAAAATTGTGCAGGGCTTGGATCGTAGCTGCGTAGCAATACGCTTTCCATTTCAGTAGGGTTAATAAAGGCTATCTGCTATATGATTGCTCTTCCAAAAAAGCAAGAACTTCAAAAATAATGTAGCTTAAATGCAAAATAAGTGCGAATTTCTGATCGGCGATCTTTTTCTTCAAAGAGAATCTGCATCTGTGCACCCACCGAGGTTAATTTGTGGAGGTTTTACCACTTACCGCTTGTCCTTCTCAAACATCAATCAAATAAGCTTTGCAAAAAAAATCAGGATGTTTGACACTAGCAATTATGTATAGGCTTTCAAAACTTAGAGACTCAGAATTTATGCAGAGTTCTGGAAAACCGAATTTATGCAAAACGCTCACCAATGTTCCTTTTTTCAGAATAAAAACTTTTAGGTCAAAATATTTTGATATGCCTCATTAAAGCCAGCGAGATCTATGATATCTATTTACAATACAAAGGTGAAGCGTATGTCTTGAAATTTTTGTTAGATAAAGAAAGGCGATGTCTTGATATCCACCATAAACCCCGTTGTCTTCCAGCTTTACATTGATGACTAGAAAAATTGATATAATCAATCATGATAGCACAGCTGCTTCTTTCTTTAATAACCACAAGAAATGCAGTTTTTTTGTGGGCCATCCAAACCCATTAAACCTGTCCCACTAAACCTTAACTCTTGGGTGTCTATGCTCCATAGAATATATCAGCAACTTCTTATAGAACAACGAGTCTCGAACTTCTTTCGCTGTTGACTTCATATATTGTGCTGCCATTGATTTGCACCTATGAAACAGCTGCTGGCACAACAATCTCGAAGCTGGAAGCTTTATTGTTGAATTGCTCATGAGTCCCAACTTACCTTTACGTTTATGTGATTAGAATTCTAGCAATATGCGCTACTCGAACAGCTGATCATATCATTTTTCCCCATACACGTTAAGTCAGTGTTCAAAACAATCTTGGAAAGTGCTCAAGGGAGCTTGTGAAAAACAAGAGTGCAACCTTCTATCACTGCTAGACGCGAGGGTTCCAAACATCACAACGTGAGTTACTCTTCGCCGTCGACTGCTTCCTCGTATTTTCCAATACGCCTAAGATTTCTTTTTGTTCATATATGATTCTTCGCTGTAAGATTTTTTGTGGAAGAATAGTTACTTACCATTTCCTAAATCTTTGTCCAATTGTGTGCTACTTTTCAAGCACAGTAGGGCAGTTCTGATGTTCGCTAGCAGTGATCGTTCAATTTTCAACTCCTCAAAGACTTTAAAACATTCACGACAAGGCCGATTTTTCGATCACTGCCGTTTCGGACTAGAGCCTTTTTCGCTTTGTTAAACTTGTGACCCACCCGAGGGTTGTATTATCCGAAATGGCAGAACACGAACGACCCACCGGTGGTTTAAGTTCAATGTTTTGAGCGTTTAAACTTAGCGCGACATAAGCAGAACTTATAACGTGTCAAAAGGACCGTATTCGAAATACTCTCATTTGTTTGCTCAAATTCAACATTTAATTTGTTCAAAACGCATAGCATTACCATCAAGGACCAACGAACTCGTCAAATTTATCATGGCATAAAATTTATGCAATTTTCTCAGTTCGCTTCGGAATGTTTCCTGAGGCTCATTGTAGCCAAGCTGATCGCAGTTTCATTCTCGATGGGCATGTTCAACACTAGGGACTACTTTTGTAACAGAAATTGAAAAATAATGAGAAAACAACACAGGCCGGAATATTGGCGTAGAAGAAACGGACAACGCTTTTCGTTTCTACTATGTTTCTGCTTCGCACTTAGAATTTCTACGCTATGGTTTTCCTTATTACTAACACATAAAAAAGTGTCTATGGAGATGACCTATTGATAATGTCATTAAGTTTTTGAATACCATATTGTGGAACGTGTATTTCATGATTATTATCTCTTGTCATGTATATAAATAATATTTTCGTATTTCCAAAAATAGGCAGACAGCGCATCATTAAGATTTTCGTTGGACATTGATGACATTAATCAAAAGCATTTTGCTAGACTGTATGACTTTAGATGAGTAAATGATCGTCTGGGTCTAGCGACGGAAATTGTATCTACATCATTCTTCTAGATTATAATGATTCTGAATGTCTGCGTGGACTAGTCAATCATCGCTTTTCATCTATCTTCCCAATAAAATGGTCACATTTTTGGCAAGTTCAGGAAATGTGCATCTGCTTTTACATGAACAGCATTGTGTGTCATCCAAGAGTATGAGAAAAATAATTACGATTTATTTAGCTCCTGAACCATAATAATTTAATAACCATAATAATCTATAATGCCGTACGTTCTGTTGTCGCAAATTATTAGGTTGGCACATAAGTTTTGCAACTTTTCCCGTAACTTTTTTCCTATTTTATGGAGCAATCTCATTTTGTGGCATCATGTAAATCGTCATGTAAGCAGTCTGCACAAACCGTTTGATTTTTGATAACGTAGTACAAAAAATCTAAGCATTTTCTGAAAACTGCTGAAAATCGAGGTTTCACGATTTTTTGGCAAACATGAAGCCCTACGAAACCTGAAAACCGAAACCTCAAACATATGAAAAAGCAATTATAGGCAGCATGTAGCTGGAAGTTGGCACTTGCACTATAGGGTAATCCTATGCGGTAAACACGAATATCACATTATTTGTCGCTAAAGTGAAATTCATTTTTTGATCTCACGAACGAGGCCTTTTCGTGTTAAACGGATCTCATTTTTGTGATCAGCATGTCACATAAGCCCTATAGGCCAAGTTTCAGCAAAATCTGATGCATTCTAAAATTTTTCCCGTAGTACCGTAAACCTACCGTAATCCTCACATAAGATGGTAAAATTCGGCAAAAATGTGTGCATTAGAAGCTTACATCATATTCCTTATACATATTGCCAATAAATGAATGCGCTATGTTCAAATAGACAAAAGTTATATAAAAAGTTGCATTACTTATGTGCCAACCTAATAATTGATATAAAATCTGTTTCGCCTTTTAGGAGCACAATGAAGCACATCTTCTTCAGTATATGCCTGATGTGCCTATCAGTTCCTCTTCTAGGAGAAATAGAAGTTGGAGAAGTGGAACCTGATAGGGAAACGGGAGCTGAAAGGAAGGACGAGAGTAGTAAGTGTAAAACTGAGTTATTATCGTAGGTCTACCAGATGGGTTGGAGTAGACCCAAAAAAGGTATACGATATTTTGCTAAAGTTCGCTGATTTTGAAGTGCTAATTATTCTGAGAAGAGCTAAGATAGCAAATATATTAGTTTTAAACTCAAACACCCTTTATTAATGTTTCAGTGCTCACAATAGCGAATCTGGACAGCTATTTTGACATGATGAAGATGTTCCGAGGTTTGTCACTTCTCATTTGTTAAGAAATATCTTCATGTATATAATTTTAAGGAATGTTGCCAAAGGACCTAATGTCGACCATTGACAGTGTAAGCTTCCAAAAAATCGATTACCGTAAACTTTTTGAAAAAATTTGGTTTCAGCTCAACATAACCGAAAAAGGAGAGCTTGTAGCATTCCTGTCTGATTGGTATCATGGCCGTATCAAGAAGCCAGAAAATAAAGCAGAGATTGTTGAATTGATCAAGGATAAACTGCCAACAGTGGGGAATTTTTTACATCTATAAAAGTTTTAGCTAAAAAATTTTTTTAGGTTTACGAGAAAATCGATGCGCTTAACACTACTTTCTACGAGAAATTCCTCAAACTTAAACCAGAAACTCAGGAACTTCTGAGATCGGTAAGTCAGTCCTATTATCTTCTCGTTATTTCATCATGTCAATAATTAGAAGAAAGTCAAGAATTGAATCCACGAACTTCAGAAAATAGGATTGACTTTGGTGTCGGACATCCCAAAAAGCTGTGCCAATTTTGTAGCTAGGATACTTATTTTTAGGATCAAGTTCTCTTGTAGGTAGTAATGCAAAATAAGGGGGATGGGGGCTGAGGAGAAGGAATATGTTAGGAAAACAATAAAAAAGAGCTTATTACTTGGATTGACTAGATAGTAAACTGTAAACTTTGATTAAACTGGATTGGCGGCTGGAAGGCGGAGCTTTGTGACCTAAATAAGGCCGCTCGCTCCCGCAATGCAGTCTGCGCTTCTCTTGCGCGCGTGCTCCCTGATCATTCTCTAGCCATAACTAGGTCACGAAGCTCCGCCTTCCAGCTGCATCCAGTTGAGTCGAAGGGTACAGCATAAAAATTGAGCCAGGTTACCGTGACTAGGCACATTCTCACTTTTTCGTATTGATACATTGAAGTGCAAGTTTTATAGCTGAATGTTCTACTTTACATTATTCTATTTTCAAAATTTGTGCGTTATCCGTGCTTAATGGACTTTACAGCCGGGCATACTTCGCGCGATTTCAGTCGCGAGGCAATTTGGCGATATTCCAACTGTCCATAACTCACTGTAAGCACATTTCAGATGTACAGAAGATAGAGATTTTATGAATCCACGTAAGTTATACACACTATGCATGTACAGTTTGCTAGTATTGGCTGGTGACCTTCCGGCGAATTACCAAATCGCGTCGCGACTGAAATCGCGTGAAGTATGCCCCGCCCTTTTCCGAATATTGAACCAGTTCATTTTTCTACTTTCATGAAATCTTTGTTTACTTTTTCTGATTTTTCGATTACAAGAATATTTTTTGGAAATCGAATACTCAGAATAAAGTGAGAGGGGGCAGAGGAATTGATGAGGAGTAAATCAATGATAGATTAATCTTATTGTGTCAAAACTTTTCAGATGAATATCAGTGCTACGATTTATTTTTAGTGGCGTGATAAGGCTATTGAATTGGAGGGTGAGACAGCAGCTGAATCTGCGGCCAAACGGCTGCAATTCCTCAGGGACGTCGCTCTTTCGGTACAAACGATGAACAATGAGACTAAAGAAGACATTAGATCGCAGTTCCCATTGGCTGTGAATCTGACGGAAGGTATGTGTAGAATTAATAAAAATTCCTCCGTTTTGCAAAAATTTCCACATGTTGCCAAAAATGCACTTTACTTTTTCGATCCCTATAATGATGATTTGAAGAAAATTAAGATCTAAGCAATGATGCATCTTTGTAGGGTTCGGCTTCACCGTTTTCACGACCATGGCAATGATTGTGCAGAAGATCATGGAAGGTTTTGGTGCTCAAGGTGCGGCGACCGTTGCTCCTCAGGACTGTGCTGTGCCCATGAATTAAGGCCTTGCTTGATGTCGAGAATATGTGTTTTTAGTTTTCATACGATAAAAATTATTCAGTTTTTGTTGGATGACACTTTAAGATGTCATACTATGTTGAGTGGAAGACATAAAAAAGCAGCACAAGAAACTAGCAAACATAGAGGGAAGTTGAAACGTTCAGGGTGTTGAACTACACATTGCCAACTGTACAACGGATGTCTAGGTCGGTTTCTACTGAAATTGGTTTTTTCAAGTTTAACGCTCAAATGTTTTACCGCCATTACAAGCTAAAAATTCGCTAGGTAACTTTGGAAGCATTTTTTGTACGCTTGAAAAATTCATGTTCAAACAAAAAGCGAAAGTCTACGCCCACTATTTGCCAAAAATGTGTGAATGGAGTAACTGGTAGTTCTTTCGTGGCTAGATTTGAACACTTAATATTTAGAAGGTTTCAACCCAGTTTCTCCCCTATAAATCCTGACAATAAGGTCATGATCACTGCGACGGTATGAGAGGCTCTCTATTTTCAATATCAGGCGCTCTTCGTAGGTGCGAAGTAAGCGGGGTAGGCTGGATTAGGAAAACATCGATGAAACAGAAGTCTAGTAAACGCCTGACTCTCCAAGCTTCGTTTATGCTTCCTCAAGAATGCGCCACACCTGACTCGCGTATGCACGGGATTACGAGGGCTTTATAAAACTTAGATAAGATTTTCATGTTTGATGTTTAAACCTTACGAAACATTGTGTATAAGATCGGATATGCCCGTTCAGAAAGGGAGAATAGTTGTAAGTCAGCTTTTAAAATTAGTAGTGGTAAAGACTCTCAGATTTTTGATTTCTTACTGACCAAAGCTATTCCGCAATATTCATATTATTTCAATTTATCACAAGTGAAGTACTTGCACTTTTTGATGACTAGCATACGCCACTTGCAAGAACTTCTTTCTCACTCTCGGGCGGGGAATGAGGGCGACTTTTCCGGAAGTCAATTTAAGAGTCCAGTTCAGAGCAATATGAACCTTTCAAGAATACCAGAAAATGCTCTAGCTTATCTGAGTTTGACTCTTATGGTAAAAATTTAACGAGTCATTCACGAAAATGCGACATGGCGATTCAATGGACGCAGAGGAAAGACGCTACTGCTGATGCTGACGGCTTTTCTCAAATCACACGTGCCCTAATACCTGCAACCGTCTGCCCTCTCTCTCGAACACGTACTATCTCCTATTTTATGCATGGTCTAGTTTCTGCGTTGATGAGTTGCTACACTGCATCACCATAAAAGAAACGAAACCGACATTCGACCAAAATGATCTAAATATCGAGCTTATGTAAACAAGACTGCAGAATGTTTCAACACCACTTTATTAGTTAGTTCATTTCGAAATCTGCAACCATGGTGGACGCCGGTATGTGGCACTTCTTCGACCACATCATCCAACTGCACCGTTCATTCAGAGTGTAAGCCGCCGCCGGCTGTAGAGCCAATGAACAAGACGCACATGAAGTCTTTTCTTGATCCATATCTATATGCGACGAGCGCGTTCATGAAGATAATGGTAAATCTTGCTGATGAAAGTCATATTGAGGTTCTGGATGTCTTTTCCACCTCTACTCAATCAATCTTAGTAGTTCTCAGATACTCGCAAGGGCCGTGCAGAAAAAGGCCACTGCAAACGAGATTTTCTGGAAAGTGGTAGTGGAAGACGTAAGATATTACGATTGATGAAAATGCTGTGTTCATTGTCCAGTCGGACACTGTGATAGGAGGGCGGCAATCATAAGGGAGATGGGTCCCCTCACGAAAGCATTCAGGCTCATGTAGTTGCTTGCCCAACTTGTGGCTCCTGCCGCCCGAGTTGCGCCTTAAGCCTAAAGGGTCGGGCATACTTCACGCGATTTCAGTCGTGACGCGATTTGGCAATTCGCCAGAAGTCTTCAGATTCAACACTAGCAAACTGCGCATACACAGTGTGTATAACTTACATGGTTTGATAAAATGCCCTATCTTTTGTACATTTGAAATGTGCTTACAGTGAGTTATGGACAATTGGAATACTGCCAAATCGCGTCGCGACTGGAATCGCGTGAAGTATGCCCGGCCCTTAAGGCCCCTGGCAGACTTCACGCGATTTGATCGTCGCGACTAAATCGCGAGGAGACAACTGTTACAACATCATTCCATGCTGATCAACTTTCATTCGGTTGTGATACTTTTCCAGACCGAAATTTTTGAATGTGAAATGAAAATGAATGGAAATCTTGGCGATTAGATCGCGACGATTAAGTCGCGTGCAGTCTGACCGGGGCCTAAGGCATACCTCACGCGATTCCTGTCGTTGCGCGATTTGGCACAACAGCGACTCTCTGTAACTCGTAGTTAATGCGTCTCCTTTGGTCAGAACTTAACCCATTTGCAAGAACTTACACAAGCTACCCGCCTTTGCATTCGAGAAGCGCGCACGATGAATTTGTAGAAATCTGGCAAATCGCCAAGTCGCGTGAAAGTGGCGATTTGGCCAAATCGCGTGAGGTATGCCTTAGGCCCCGGACAGACTTCACGCGATTTGATCGTCGCGACTCAATCGCCGACATTGCCATTCATTTTCATTTCACATTCAAAATTTGGGGCTGGAAAAGTATCACAACCGAAATGCAAGTTGATCGGCATGGAATGATGTTGTAACAGTTGTCTCGTCGCGATTCAGTCGCGACGACCAAATCGCGTGAATTCTGTCCGGGGCCTTAGGCCTTAGCTAGTGCGCTTAATTCTATCTGAAAGTCCCATGTTCCTGGATTTGAATGGACACTGCCTCTCATCCTACCTGTTGTTTTCTTATTGACTACTTTGGTTACCATGCATGAGATCGCGTGAACAAGCACCCGAAACTCCCCAAGTATTAGGACCTGACTCATGTAGAAGGCGGATTGAATGAAAAAGCTTAGCCGAAGCCTTGATGGAACAGTCCTCCATCTAAATATCCGAACGAGAAATGCTGCAAATAATCAAGTGGATGCAGACAAGCGTTTGTTTTTAAAAGCTCAAAACGCCCGCTTCATTCTATTTAGGCCCCGGTCAGACTTCACGCGACTTAATCGTCGCGATCTAATCGCCAAGATTTCCATTCATTTTCATTTCACATTCAAAAATGTCGGGCTGGAAAAGTATCACAACCGAATGCAAGTTGATCGGCATGGAATGATGTTGTAACAGTTGTCTCGTCGCGACTCAGTCGCGACGATCAAATCGCGTGAAGTCTGCCCGGGGCCTTAGGGTGACTATCTACGTACCAGTGCGTCACCTCTGCTTCGCAGAGGCTCACATGGCTCTACTATCTAGGCCCTACTCATTCTCGCATAATGATGGCATTGGAACTCACCGAGCAATGCCGACTATCACGAACAAAATGTAAACAACTACTCATTCCAAAAGCTTTTTTATGTGAAATCGGTGATTTCGCTGGATGAAATTTTTTGCACGAAAACAAACGTAAATTTATACAGGTTTTGAAGTTTCCATGGTCTTGACAGTCGCAGTAAGAACAGCAGTCACCGTGAGCTACATCTTTGTGCAAAAATCTCGTCAAATGCTCTGGTACAATCTTGGCAAATTGACCATTTACGCAACCAATACTTTTGGCGCCGTTTTTGTAAAATAATGGGCTTTTGATCACTTTTTGTGCGTTCATGGGTTGCACATCTACTTGGCTTAAACATCCACGACTCCTCAGAAAGCGGGATTACGGACCCAATTTTGCGGTTCAAATACAAAGTGGATCCGTTTGAGGCGCAGTTTCTGAGGGACCCACTCAACCAATCTGCTCATGCTTTTGCGTGCTGGACTTTTATGCGGGTAGCATGCTCTATGCAAAATTTGAGCCCAGGAGGTTGGCTGGAACACGTTCTACGAAATTCAGACAGACAACAACACCCTCACAGACACACAAAGTCACGTAAACATCCTTAGCCCATTATTACAAGTAATGATGTTGATTATCCTGGATGCGAGGCTACCTCTGATGAAAAGCTTTTGATTCCTTTACTTATCCTGAGTGAGGGTTTTTTTAGATAGATAATCTCATCTCTTTTTCTCATCTGTATCGTTTTGACATCTTGCGATTTGATAGCACGGCAGAAGGTTAATGACAGCATCAACACCATCAAAATCTTGCGATGTAACTTTCTCAACCAGGAGCGAGGTCTTACTGAGTGTCACGCTCTCCTTCGTCGCCATCGCTGTGGAGCAATGACGAAAAGCGCGTGAAAATTGGCATCTGCGGGTTTGTATTTTCACTGTTGCGTCCATATGTGTCAGTTTTGTTTTACCCAAATTCTTTGTTAACCCCGAGGCCTGTCAGCGTAATTCGTCGTTGCTGATGCGGCGCGACCACACTGGGCGCGCCTGCGCTGCGGACTAGAGGCTGTCCGAGTTGGAGATCGCAGCGCGACTGTATCCGCGGGAGGCCTTACGCCAGTCGAATACAGTGTATGCCTTAGGCCTCATACATCCTTTTTGTGGAATGTCCAACCAGTTCAAGGGCGATAGTTGGCCGCACACACAAACGCCCTGTGTGCGCGAGCACCGAGGAATTTGCGTCGCCGATTCGCACTATACCCGCAGATTTTGCGAGGTCGGTCCACAAATTTTCTGTAAGAGCGCTTGACTGATCCCTTTCTCACCATGATTATTCTCAGGGTTGGGCCAGACCACGCTGCGTACACGCGACTGGCCTTCCAAAAACTGCTTACCGCACTTCTAGCTATGAGCAGAGGGCAAAAATCGTTCTTCGTTTTTCCTAGGCTTGCATATCCACGGCAACTAAATAACATGTTTTTGCGTTGCTATTACCTACCTACTTACATTTTACCTATTCATAGGGGATGAGATTCTTCAAGCGCTTCTCCGTGTTTTTGCTCTCCCTAACCAAAGCAACTCTGAGAGCGCTTGGTATAGTGCGCACTCATAACTTGCTATGAAAGACGCGATATAATAATCCTGCTTTACCTCTGTGATATGGAGTTGAGCACAGCATTGCTGGGCTCTGATTGTTGAATTATGCTCAACAACAGTTTACAGATTCCACTTATTCTTATATTCCTTTTGGGATTTGTAATAGCTTTTGTGCTGCTGATTACATGCATCGCAGTGTTCATATGTAGGTGGAGATCACCACCTTCAGTACGTGCTAAATGTTCAAGCCGCCAGTGATACGTCATTTATTGTCCTAATATTCAGAATCCCCCAGCTAATAGCAAAATTTGGCTGGCAGTATTTTTTCTTACCGTATGTGCTATAGTGACAATAGTCTGTCTTGTACTCATTGGTGCAAGCGCCAGCGCTATAAGCGATGGTCTGGAATATCTGCCTGAACAACTATCAAAATCAACAACAGGTGTGTACTATTTCGAGATTTCTCACGGTTAAAAGAGTTACGGTGAAATACAACCAAATACAGAAATCGCTCGTGTTTTTGAAAACTTGTTCGCTAGAAAGAAAGAGCATTTGATCAATAATGCCATTTCTTCATAATTGTAAATCAAAGATTGGAACGAAATTGTCCGCCTGCAGCACCAGCGCTTTTGTCTTTATAATTTTCATACAGTGTGTACTTCTGAACCAGTTATTCTTATCAAGATTAGACGGAAGCCCTACGATGCGAGTGCTCTCCAGACTATGGAAACTGAGTAATGGCACGTTATTCGGCGACGGTTACGGTAGTCATTATGCGCACTGCCCTTTCAACTCATTGTTCTCCTGCTCTGCGGATAAATTTTCGCGCTGGGATATCTAATTTCTACTGAGCGGTCGAACGAATAACGATTGATTTTGGATAAGGACTTGAACCCAGCATTTTTGAAATTTAATTGGCTCATCAGTAAAATGGGAAGAACGCTGTGAGCGAAGAGGCAGTTGTGCTGTGTCTTTACCCAAACAAGATGCAGCGGATCTGTTTAGTGAAGCCTCTGGAGAATCTATGTTTGATAACGCATTCATTCTTTCAGAGACACAAAAAAACGTTACCTAGGTTTTTTCCTTAGGTTTGAGTCAAGTAACTTGACAAAAAATGATTCTGCATTCTATTAGGTCGCCCATCTTTTCATTTTTGAGTTTTCGCTGTGATAAGTCATACATTTCTTGTTCTAATTAGACATCAGGAGCCACTTGATAGTGCAAAGCAAGCTCCATAAGATGGTTTTTATGCTTTTGCACCAGCTTTGACCACCTCAAGTCTGAACCAGAATCCAAAAAGTTTCGGATGTTCAGAAAATTTGAAGTTTTTCATATCTTCGAAGCCCTACAGATCTCTCATTTGCTCACGCATATACACTGACACTCGTATGTGCTGTTGCTGTATTTTTTATTAGCTAGAAATCGAGACCAAAATTTAAATGTTTTTACCAAAGTGGTGCTTACTCTAACAGTTGTATTCTACAGAGCCCTCAAAAATACAACTGTAAATTTTTAGCTCTCTATATGCTCTAGTTTCCGAGAAAAATGAATTTAGCCTCCCTCACTCGGGTTTCTTCACGCTTAACTCGACAATTCTCGGAAGGCGGAGCTTATAGAAAGCTAAAAATTTACGGTTATACTTCTAAGGGTTTTAAGTTTGTTAAGGGTTTTGTAGTATACAAGTGTCAGTGTAGACGCCACTTTGGTAAAAACATGGATATTTTCGTTTTCTTGATTTTTAGCCCGCAACAGCACTTATGAGTTCCTGATGTGTGGTGTACATGTGAGCGAGTAAGAGATCTGCACGGTTTCTTTGAACGAAAACGTAGAAAAATTTCGATCTTCAGGGCATCCTAAACTTTTTGGATTTAGGTTTTGAACTTGAGGTGGATCGAAGCTGGTGCAAAAGCATGGACATCGTCTTATAGAGCTTGCTTTGCTTTATCCTGATGTATTCAGAATAAAAAGTGTATCACTTACCACAGCGAAAAGTCGAACATGAAAAAATTTGTGGGACGACCTTATATAAAGAGGGGTTGGGCAAGTTATTTGTTGTATGATTCTAGCAAGCAGCGGCATACTATCCTCACTTTCATGAAACATGTGATGGGCAGCAATAATTCTGGGACCTCTGATGTAGACTATCCTTTCCATTCTCAAAAGGTTGGGTAATCTATAGTAGAATCATTTCGTACTTATACAACTAGATTCGACTTTTTCAGGTTGGGGAGAGGGGGGGGGGGGTAGGGAGAGGAGGAAGGAGAGAGAAAACGAGGTGCAGGCTGCTTTCTCTCATATTTGTTTGGTTTCATACTAAGGGCATTTCGCAATGTTTGCTGCAGCATCGCTGAATTATGGCAACCAATCGTTAAATTCAGTCAACTTGTCTATTGTAGACCTTTTGCGACTTCGCTTGGCGTACATATCGCGGCTCCACGCGCAGGCATATTTAGAGTTAAGCAGTAGATAGAAGTTATATTTGCCTAGCGGTGGCTTGCTTGTTAGATCCAAAGCAAGCAAAGCTTGTGCTCTTTCAGCAGTAGAAAAGTTTGTGCAAGGTCTATCTCAAACGTTGGAATGCAACTTCAAAAAAGAGATCAAAAACTTGACAGATGAGATCTTAATTGCTAAGCATGATATTCTGAACAAAGTTGAAGCTGTACGAAAGTCACTGAAGTACTATGATGAAAAGAAAAAGAGCGTAAGTGTTGGTACGCAATGTATCTTGCGCAGATGTATGTGTTGCTTTCAGATTGGAAAACCAATAAAAGCACTTCAACTACAGACGCATGACCTGATAATTGCCAATGCCGATTCCGAACCGCTCAATGAATTGGTGCGTTTTAGCAATTTTTAGCGCTACATAATAGTAAGTAGATAAATAATTTTTCCAACAGCAAACGAAAATCGTATGGGGTCAAATTCAATGACTAACCACAACGGTACTTCTGGTGACGAACATCGTCTTTCTCAGATTTTCTTCGCATCCTAATCTACATATATATATATATGTATATATAGATTAGGATGATATATGTATACATATACAGGATGTCCCAAAAAATGTTTAGAACGTTTGATCGTTAATATCTCTCTTCCCAAGAAGTCTTTTGCCTTGCTTCAGGTACCGTTTTGTAGAGCTGGCTTCAACTTAGATTTCCATTATAGAACGAATCACCCATCTCTCTTCATTATAGTAGGGTTACGGTAGAAACTTGAAACATATGGTGTCAATGTGGAAAAAGCTGCCGTTTCAAAATTTTTCAAAAAATTGTGAAAACTTGTGTAATAGGGTTTTTATAGACGCTGAGTTCAATACTCAACTATTCACAAGATTACGAAGCTTTCTAAACGGTGTAATCGCAGTTTTTAGGAACATTGAAAAAAAGGCCGCTACCTGTCACCTGGCATAACTCTTCAATGAAGCATCATAATAAGTTGGGAACTTTACAGTTATAATCAGCAATTCTAATGAGCCTGGTGTAAATTTTCAAGCTGTTTTGTTTCCTTTCTGAGGCAAAATATGGCCTTTCATGGTTCAAAACCCTCTTTGAAGTTTCTACCGTAACCCTACAGTAATGAAGAGAGATGGGTGATTCGTTCTATAAATCTAAGTTGAAGCCAGCTCTACAAAACGGTACCTGAAGCAAGGCAAAAGACTTCTTGGAAAGAGAGATATTAACGATCAAACGTTCTAAACATTTTTTTGGGACACCCTGTATGTAAAACTCAATGTCTGCGAGGATGTTCGTTCACTTATTCGTTCGTTATAGAAACGCCAGTCATTACACCGATTGAGCTAAAACTTCGCATACATATGTTTTCGACCCCCGGCGGTGGTTTATGGCTACTTTTTGCGGCGATTCGCAGGGTCCTTCTATTGATTTATTGATTTGTTTACCTAAATCTGGGAAAATGAGAGTTTGACGTGCTCTAACCAATCATTTTCCAGTAAACATGTGGGCAGGGTTAGTAAAGTTCATTCTAATCGCAAGGTCGACAGGACACAGCGGGTTCGTCTTAAAGCGCTTTTCGCGCATTATAGAAGTTAGAGAGTGGAAGTATGATCGGCTTCCAGATTCCTGTGGAGGCGTGCTGAGGACTTCACTGATTTAAAGATAGGCTCAACGAGAGAGTACGAAATACGATGCTATAACGTAGAGGTTTGTTTATCTCGAAAATCAGGGAAGTGCGCAACCCGCCTCTACACGAATCTGGGAGCCGATAATATTTTGGTAGGTAAGGGGACGAACTCCGCCAGTTTGAGCCCGCCTTTGCTGGCAACCGGTCCTTTCGAAATATTGCGGTTGTGGTTGCAGGACTAAAAGTCCGCGATGTTCCAAAATGGCGGAGTTCGTTTCCCTACCCCATTTTGGTTAAGCTAAGAGTCTCGGGTGAGACCGCACCATGCTAGTCTCAGATAAGCCGCACCCTTTTTGCTCTAAATGCGAGCAGACCCAGGCGTGCCGCAGCGCATGCGTCTCGCGAATCGGTCACTTTCTCGCGCATTGCTCTCACTTAACGCGCCCATGATAACAGGCAGTCTTTTGGCGTGTTCGTCTTTAGAGCAAACAGGATGCGGCTTGTATAATACTTTTGAAAAAGGTAATACAAATCGTTGTAGGTGGCACTCATGAAAGCCGTTGAAGTATCGAACGATACGCTTGACCGACATGCTTTGAACCTTGGGTTGAGCGAGGTAGGAAAATATTATCGCCTTCATATCTAATATATAAAGCTGAATGTCTGTTTGTATGTCTGTCTGTATGTACGTATGTTCCGAATAGAAAATTCCATTTCTGAACCGATCCGGACCAAACTTGGCACACATACACTTTGGGCCCCGGCGGGTGTCATAGGCTACTTTTCGTCATCGATCGATATCGATTTTATCGATTTTTTGCAAAATTTGAGCTACGGGGCTGGGAGTTGGCACAGGGGGTAAGTGAGCTGGGGATTCCGAATACAATATAAGTTTTTAAAATCGTGCATTACTTTTATCGATTTTATCGATTTTTGCAAAGTTTGACGGTTTTGGCATGCGCGGTTTCGAAAACAGATATTGTATTCGTAATCAGCATGCTCGATTACCCCCCTGTGCCAAATCCCAGCCCCCTAGCTCAAATTTTGCAAATCGATAAAATCGACATCAATCGATAACGAAAAGTGGACTGTGACACCCGCCGGGGCCCGAAGTGTATGTGTGCCAAGTTTGGTTCGGATCGGTTAAGAAATGGAATTTTCTATTCGGAACATACGGCGGAGCCGGGTATGCCAGCTAGTTAGAAATAAAAAACACGAAGCAAGCTCTCGTAAGTACAGCCATCATTCTTGCCTTTTAAAGGATATTCGTCGACGACTGTTTTAAGGTCGTGCAAATTATACCGTGGGCGTGCCTCTTTGGAGCCCAAGTTGACGGAACGTGCAGCGCGCGGTGACCTGGTGGCTCGCAGCACCACTGTCCTTTAACCTCTTTTGTTGATTTGAGCATTTTAAATAGTTATTCTTGTTGGTTTTCCTTTTCTCTAAAGTCCTCTTGAATTAACCTAGCTTATCCTTTGATGAACACTAAAGGGTAAGAAACAAAAAATCAGTTCAGGCACATTTCCCAGAGTCCTCTTCCTTTTGACCCACCAAATATTCATTTTCGAGATCGTGACTCATCGCCCGGGCAAAATTAGGTGAAAGGGTGTGCTTTGTCTAAAAGCGGTGGTGGCTATCATGCATTTTTATTAGGCCCCGGTCAGACTTCACGCGACTCAATCGTCGCGACCAAATCGCCAAGATTTCCATTCATTTTCATTTCACATTCAAAAATTTCGGTCTGGAAAAGTATCACAACCGAATGCAAGTTGATCTGCTTGGAATGATGTTGTAACAGTTGTCTCCTCGCGATTCAGTCGCGTCGATCAAATCGCGTGAAGTCTGCCCGGGGCCTTAGATGGGAACACTCAAACGTTTATTTCAGCACTCCTACATGGTGTTCTTGATGTAGGGATGCTGAAGTAACCACTTCAATGGCCTGACCTAAGAAACATGTCAAATCATTTTAAAACATGACGAAACATTTAATTTCAATCATAGTCATGAGCCCACCTCTGCAACTAAGAAGGAAGCTCATTCTTTCGCTTAACTTTGGCCGCGGTGATGGTCAACATAGACATTAGAAAGAGTAGCTGCCTGAAATGAAAAATAAAAAGTTAAAAAAACGATGCAAAATGCTTGTTAACAAAAGAGATCAAAGGACAGGGAACAGGGATGCTGCGAGCTACCAAGTCCCCGCGCGCTGCAAAGTACTGTCAAGCGGGAAAGGCTCCAAAAATGCAATCGAAATCGTCAACGAATACCCTTTATGGTCGTCCTCACTTCATTAGTCGCGTGGCGGACGAACTCGAATTCAAACTAGCGCGGGCCGGTTGCCTAGAGCGCTGCACGGTCAGCCCTCTCCTGTTGATTGGTGTTTCTTGTGTTTCAATAATCGTGATTAAGGTTACGACTTGTTGTGGTTCAGCGACTTCTCAAACTGCTATGCTCATTTTTAACAAGTTTTCCAAGTAGAAAAACATTGCAGTAGGGATATATGTATGTGAAATTCACCGCAGCAACAATGAAAGCACATCTTACCTACATAAAGAAATGTATGAGCAGGAATTTCTAATCTCCATAGTTTCTCCAAGTTTACCTGAACTCGGAGTAGAAAAGCGAGTATAGCAATATAAAAAAATTACACAACAACAACAAAATTCGTCCACACTGATCGCGAACAATGCTAGAACACAAGAAACATAAGTCAAAACGAAGAAATACAAAAGAAAAAGAGAAAGATTGAAATGAGGGCTGTGGGTGCTGCTCTAGCGCAACCGACCTGCCCCAGTTCAAATTCGAACTCATCCATCAAGCGACTAGTGGGATGAGGACGACTATAACTATGCAATAGAGGTGTGCTTAGGTTTCACGGCCTATAAACGAAGACTGCATGGGCGTGTCGCGTTGGCCAGCTCTCTGAAGAGCTACCATGATGGAACTTTCAACTAATCGCTGCTTGATTAGGTAGAGGAACTCGGCTAATTCACCCCGTTGCCGACGTATTTAAGACAAGTACGTTTTCCATCAAGCGCTTTCTAGTCTGAAACAGCAGCAAAAACCAATTTTTTGTTCATGATCTTTGAAGCTCATCTATAATGAGCCACCCAAAAATAACTGAGAATGGCGACTCTGCAGAGGCTATGTCTTTCGCTCGCTTTTCCATTGTTCATAAGCTCCTTGAGTGTGTTGGGGCTAATAATGCGAAATAGAACAACTTTTTTATGCGTGCGAAATGTTTTTCTATAACGTAAGATGACTTACGGGCGATTAGTTGGCAGTCGTTGCTGAGAGATGTGAGTAAATGTTAGATGATCGTTACAACATAATGTAGGCCGAAGCATCCCATAGGGTCGGGCCAGACTGCGCGGCGTACACAGCGCACACCCCATGTTTTTGTGCACTGTGCGTACGGCGGCTACGCCAGGCGAGCGCGTTATCTCGCCGTCTCCACTGGAGGCTGTGCGGAGGGCAGAGTGGCAATTGGCAAGATCAAAGAGAATGAGGAGACGCAGACATGCACACATGTGACGATCTACTGTAGTTGCAGCACGAGAGGATGTGGGGACGCCCGCCTTTCCATTTTCGGGCTAAACATGGTTGAAACAAACTGTATCTTTCCAAGCGCTGGAGCCTAAAGGGCCGGGCATACTTCACGCAATTTGAGTCACTACGCAATTTGGCAATTCGCCAAAAGTCTTCAAATCCAAAATTAGCAAACTGCACATGCATTGTATGTGTAACTTACGTGGATTAAAATAATGCCCTCCATTCTGTACATTAAAAATGTGCTTACAGTGAGTTATGGACAGTTAGAATATTGCCAAATCGCGTGAAGTATGCCCGGCCCTTAACACTTTGAGAAGTTTTGATGACGATAGGAAACTGAGGTCGAAACTTTGCCTAGTAAAATTTCTGGCCCGTTTTCATGTTTGGCCTGCTAAACTATATGCCTAATAAATATATAACAGCAAGTTACTTGAAGAAAAGATTGTGACAGTTAGTGGTTATATAAGCGTTCTATCAACAAAAAGTAGCGCTGAAGATCCTTTCGCAACATTTATGTCTGCGCTTTATATATGAAATCGGATAATTTTCAAGCTTGAGAAGAATGTCAATGCATTTGCTGATCAACGAAAAGCTATTGATGAAGCGTTTAGATCAGTCATGAACGACACATTTAAAGGGGTGAGTAAAGAAATTTTCAGATTTTTCACCATTTCTATACCCTTACATTCTGTTGGCCTCGAGCAATTTCTTGTTTAGTATGATAAGAAAGACAGCTGAAAAATTTGACACGTTTAGATATTTCCTGCTGTTGTTGAACATCTAAAAACAATCTCTGCTTTGGTAGACTACACCATAGTAAAGAATGTGAGGGTTTTACATCTCATTCTACAAAAGTGAGCCTCATTTGTTTCAGGAATTCAAAACGTGGATAGGCATCGTTGCATTTGGCTTGATCGCGTTACCAATACTTTTGTTGATCCTAATTTTATTTTCTCTTGTACTAGTGGTAGTGCGGTAGGTGCACTTGCCGTTTGTGGTGAATCAATGATATAGAGCTGAATTGCAGCCTATTTTGGAATTATGCAATAAGCAATACACACAGTAGTAAGCGAAGTTTTATATCTCACATAGGAGGAGAAATGATGGGCTTTACTGGATACATAGCGATGGGTCTTAGTGTTATACTCTTCATACTCACTTCGTAAGCCAACGCAATCAATCCACTCAATTTGCATATCACAACGTTTTTATACTCAAGATTAGCATTCATGCTAGCCTTTACTGCTATGATGGTGTGCATTGGCTTCTTCGAAGATAAAGACCTTAGAGTATTCCGTGTGGCAGAAGGTGTTGTTAGACAAAAGCACATGACCGTTAGCATCGCGTGAGTTATAGACAAAGGACACCACGTTGAATAAACTGCTAATGATGCTCATGGCTCAGGGAGATTTTTTACAAATGCAAGAATGACTACACTTTTTTCGACGCAATGGATGGCTCTAGACTCATGGCAGAAGATGAAATCAAAAATGTAAGGGAAGTTTATCCGCATTTTGCTTGTTACTTACGGAGCAGTGAGCAGATCACTTACAGAAGATAGACATGTTGTTGGTCAGAGATGCTCAAAGGCTAATCGACAGGGGCATACTTGTATTGGATGGTCCAAGCAATTACGAAGTGTTCATGAAAAACAGTGAGGTTAGTAGGAATGGGGAACGGAATTTATCCACTCCAGCGGCAAGTGCGTGCATGGTATGAGAAATCCTCGTCAAATCCATAAATTTCGGGTTGCAGCGTTTTAGACTCACTTTCACGGATGGATCTCTTGACGTATAAACTCAAGTTACTAGAAACTAGAAATCCTTAAAGCTCAGTGAAACACAATGTTGCCTTAGGTTTATGCTGGCTCAGTGCTAGAATATGTCATAAAAAGCCTGGAAAACTTTTCAAAATATCAAATTGATCTGAAAAAGTCATCCAGTTTTTTGTCTTGAAATTCTAACTTTCAGTGAAATTCTCACCTTAGGATTAAACAAATTAGGTCGTCATCAGAAATATCAGCTAATTTCGATTTTCGTAAAAGTTTCAACTTTCATGGGTATTTAAGTCATCCCGTCCAAGTCTGGGCATAGCTGGCACCGGTTCAAGCTGGATATCGTCTTTAGGGCGAAAGCAAAGGGGATATCGTTTTTCCGGAGTCCGGGGAGGAGAAGAGCCGCAAGAATTCCGCCGGCATGTCATCGGCATGCTGTTTGTCAAACAAACAAAGGCGTTGTTTTTAGCTAAAACGCTATAGTATGACACCAAATTTGATGTGTGCATGCGCGTTGGGGATCTGAACTATGGGCCAAAGATTTATGAAAACTTGTGAATAAAAGCTGTGCTGAACTTTTTTCTGAATTAGCTGGCACCGTGCCAGCTGAGCTGGCACCGACACTTTGTTCACAAAAGTTTTCATACTTTTTTACACAAAACGTAAAGAAAAGTTTACATTCGATTCTTTAGCGACAACTCCAAAGCCTTAAAAGCTTTTCTGACTTGCTAGCGATGTTCAAAAAGCTTCCACCCATTGACCTTCTTTGTCATCGTCTTCCTGATTCGTAGATGCAACTGGATGTTTAGTCGAAGACTCATTACGAGCAATCATGTTGTGCATGTGTCGCTGTAGGTATGATTTCCGTGTACATCACCATTGACAAGTGGCATCGGCGCTGCATCAGTAGTCGGTCCAAGTTGGCGTTTCGCTCGCATACGTGTTCAAATGCGATTCCCGTTTTTGAAACATGTGTTCGCGACAGCCAAGTCGTGTGCTTCGGCGGCCGTTTTCCGTTCTCGTTCCTTTGACCGTATCTATTTTCACTATGGTATCGCTTGAATACATCATGGACCAACGTGCCCATGAAGAGGAAGATGTATTCTTCTCATTGAATGTCTAGTAGGTGCCGAACTCCCTCCAAGATATGTCCTTCTCAGCGTCTGCAATGCGGATTGCGGGGCGAAGCACGACACTACTCGAAGTGTGGCGTTATCTGTTTCATTCTTCATCGCCATCATTCTATCTAAAACACGCATCACTTCGGTCACTAACCCGTGATCATCATCAGCGGTATTTACCGCTAATGATGATCGCGAGTTGCGACTTCGTTTTGGCGGTTGCTATCTTCGGTGTAGTAAGGCGGTATCCCTCGCCGATGTCCTCAGCCTGCCTTCCCTTCCATTTGTTTATTGTTTATATGTTGTACACATGTGGTCGACGTGCCACTACCTCAATCTATCGCATAGTACTCAAGTCTTGTTGCAAACTTCCTGGACTCGCTTCTTTGGCCTGTCTCGCTCGGGGACAGGTAGTTCTAGTAGTTCTAGCTCACTCCTAGCTCCGCGCCAGGCGAGCAGTGATGCTTGTTGCCTTCGGAGGACTCCCTAGCAGCTTGACGAAAATCTTCAGTGGTCGATAAATGTGAACACGAACGATTTGTACAGTCTTCTGCTCATCATTCCGCCTGACGGGACAATGCCCTCGTCGTCTGCCGAAGTTGATCTCCATTGCCGTGACACCGCGGGGAAATGACGATACTTTGTCGGCCGTGCTGGTGATTGTCCGTTGAAAGCAATCTGAAGAGGCATAAGCGAGCATGCGACTCTTAAATCGCCTTTGCTAATCTAAGGTTTCCACAATATTCCTGTCTACCACTGTTCTAAGATCTCAAATTGAAAATTCGTATAAAAAGTAACAAAAGATATTTCTTTGCAAATGCATATTCCGTGATTAAAAATCAAAATAATGTACGAGTTTGTTTACAATAAGAACAAATAAATTTAAAGTCCGCTTTAAAATAATTAATCTTTTCAGAAATTGCTCGACAAGTCAGTACTGAACAGAAGTATGCAACATTTATATTTTAGTGAGAATAAAGAGTAAAACAGACATTTGTAGAAACAGACAAAAACTTGCTTACGAAAATAAGGAACTCTTTGAAGACTGTAAAAGTACAAGTGAAGGGGCTTGCAAATGCTGTGAGTTTTCAGAATATTCTGTCAAAAACGGAGCTAGTATGAAAATGACTAATTGAAGCAGTAAATTTATTTGTTTTTACTCTATCTGTATTTAAGGAGAACGCTGTCATTGCAAAAGTCAGAGACATAACTTCCAAAAATTTCATTCACTATATTAGTGGAATAAATGAGAAAGTACTGGGCACAGCTCAAAATTTGTTGGTGAGAGATAAGCAAAATCACTTTTACACAACTGATGACGGCAAGCTTATCAACGCTTTTTAATAAATAATTGAGGTTGATCTCATTGATATGTCTCCTCGCTGTGATAGCATAATGGCGATTTGGAACGATATCGGGTGGTACGTGTGTTACCTCATTGCTCGTCCACTATCGGGGACATGGATGGCGATCGGTAGGAACTTTTGCTGCAGAGTCTCAACAAATATTACCATCACTTCGTGATTTATGCGTTTTCAGTGATAACGGCATTTTCCTCGGTCATAATCTATCGAGCACTGTTTGATGCTACAAGATTTCTCAAGAGTTACAGCGAAACATCCGAATCGGTGTCCTAGATGTTTAGCATTGCCTGCAGTTCAAAAAACAAAAAGATCAGCACGTTTTCTCACTTAAATAAATCGTTTTGTTGCGTTTCTGAACACAGCTGCAGAAGAGGAAGATAATGCCCGTTAGCTTTGCAGACATTGTATGATGCAATATGACAATGTAACAAGTACGCAAATTGACAACGACCTAATAGTGAGAAAATGCGCATGCGTACGTGCAAGTATGGTCTAAGCTGTATGATGATATAGGCCATGAACAGTAAAGTGATATCGGTTTCTGCAGTACTGACGCATTCTGCACAATACTGCGAAGGTTTTCTGCTAACACTTGGTCTAACAAATCTAAACGAGCTATATATCATTATAGTCGACTGATCTTAAGTATTATCGGCTCCCAAATTGGCGCTAGGGCGGCCGCAATAATCAACCGATATCACTTATGGCTTACACTGGACAATCGCGCAGCTGATACGCTCCCCTTACTCTCCCTCGAGGCAATCTGGGAGGCGATGGTATGTGTGTGACATCCATCAGATGGCTATCTGGAAAAAAAATCCTAGGCAGCCCTAATGGTGCGTAATTAACAGCCCTTATACAAGAAAAGCGCATTCATTGGAAACTCAACTAATTGTTTGTCAAATGTTTTCCATGAAACATGCACTGCAGAATACATGCACATGTGCATGCTCGTAACACCTTCCACGTAGTCATTTAACAGATTTATGAATATACAGGGTGTCCCAAAGAGATGTGCACATTGTAGTTAGTTCGATAGTTACCCTAATTTCACGCGTACAAGGCGCGGGGTGGTCTTAGCTTTCATCGACCAGCCCGAACACGGCAAAGGACTTCGCAACCAAGGGAACCCCATACCGTGCTGCGTTTTGCCTGACGAATCGTGCGGCACAAGGATCGCTTCTTAAAACACGTTGGGGCGGTCAGCAGCTCGATGAAAGCTAGGACCACCCCGCGCCTTGTACGCGTGAAATTACGGTAATGACTTTCTTTCTTTCATTTCTTTTGCCGAGCTTGAGTTACACTCTTTTAAGCGAGACTCAACTTAGATTTACAGTATGGAGCGAATCACCAGCCGCTCTTCATTACTGTAGATTACGGTAGGAATTTCGACGAGGAATTTGAGCCATTAAAAGCATTATGCCTCAGAAATTAAGCCAAACAAGCCAGAAACTGTTGTTAATCGAAGTCGCAGATACTAAATTTGAAAACTGCATTCAGTATAGTGCTTCTTTCATAAGGTATTCCAGATTTAAGGCGACCCGTTTATCCAATGCTCGTCAGAAATGTGAATACGCCATCAAAAAAGCCCGAAAAACTTGTGGAAAGCTATGCAGTGAAATCATTATACTTAAAACCTTGTTAAAATTTTCAGATTTTTCAAAATTATTTCATCAAACGGCCTATTCCACAGTGACGCTTTATGCTGAAAGTTCATGCCGTAATTCTACAGTTATGAAAAGCGATTGGTGATTCCCTTCATACCGTAAATCTAGTTGAACCTAGCTCTACAGAATGATGCCTCATGCTCGGCAAAAGACATGAAAGAAAGAGCACATCTCTTTGGGACACTCTGTTTATTGAGATTAGCGTACGAGGCAATGATATCTGTTTGGATTGGTCAGAACAACTTCGACCACTCTCTTGTGAGCATTCTTGCTGCTCCTTTTATACAAATATAACAGTAAAATTGATGCAGTGTGAAGCATAACCTTCATATGCTTTCCTGTAGTTCTACTCTGAGGCTTTATTATATTTACTACTATCAGCTACTGTACTGAAGAGATTTACTTAAACCAGCGGTCATACAATCTAATATTTACAGATGATCCACATGAAATAAACGCAAAAAAGCCCATTTCTCTGCATAAAACAATTTAAATTTATAACGGTTACCTCATCTTATAGCTATGAAGATTTATGTATGTTCTATTGATCATGTTTGGAAGTGTCCGCTTCTTACTTAGATACATTCATTATATCACTTCCGTGAATTTGCTAGAACGCATGGTGTCATTTTTGGTAGTCGCCTGCCTTCAAAGGATTTGCCTTACGTGAATCTTTGGAGAGCACCGTGCACTTTCTAGCAGCACCTGAATCATGAAAAAAATTTTGCGTTTTTCTTGGATCCTGGCCAACGAAAAAACACTTGAATTTAGAAGTCCCTCAAAATACTCTTCAACAACCCCTTCTTCTTTAGAAGTGAAACCATAAGAGGGAGAAGAATTATGGAGAAGGCGAGTTATATCTTTCGAAGTCAAAATAAAACAACGAATGGTTAGAAGCGGATTTTTTAAAGCTTGTAATACTTCATGTGAACCACCCTGTATGCTGTTTCTATCTGACTGAAGTACTTCTAAAACTATCCTAGCAGCCTAATCAGTTCTTTAGAACGCGAGTTCGTTAGGTATTTCTTGGGATCAAACTTGTGTGAATTGATCTGTTCAAGGACTAGTGGTTGTGGGGATAGTGCCTCCGCAAAGTGGCTTTCTTATTTTCTTTATTTAGATCCTCTGGGCGTACGAGTCCAGATCTGTAGTCAAAGCTTTCATGTTAAAAACTCGCTCTTTGAAACGAAATTAGTGTTTAATGGAAGGGAGGAGGGATTTGCGCGCTCCAATGACGATTGATCGCTGGAATTGTAATGGCGTTGAAACACTCCCATTTGGACGAGGCTGCTTGTTTTCAACAGCCAATAGCTCTCTCTCTAATCCCGGCTTCTCAGCAGTTGCGCGGCCGAGAATGTAACAAATAATCATTTTTTATTTCTAAAAGATTTGAAACACAGCGTTGATTTAACGCATCCAAAGGGCCTAAGTATGTATGGAGCCGCAACTCTGCCCACCCATTCCCTTTTTGTAATACAGGTTGTTCACTGCCAAGATATCGAGTTTCGCATAGCAAGCTTTTGCTTTGTTCATACACTGCACAAATTAGAAACAGAGGTGCTTTCGAGTGCCTTTCTGAAAATTTCCGCATGAGAACTATTGAGTTATAACTGCTAAGCCATGCTTGATATTGGTTTTATTTGGGCTAACGTTTTGGCTTTGTCGCCTTTTTCGGAACATGAAATAGGTGACAACAATTTACTACCAGATAAATCACCTCAGTCCTGCAAGCAAAATTCTAGGCTTTTTTCGGAACGAGCAAGTGAAATCTGAAGTTTAAGGGTGCGATTATTGATCGCGTAGGTGATCAATCAAACATGCCAAAGACTAAAAAATATGATTTAAATGTGATGAGTCTAATAGAGAGGCAATCTCCCTGACGATCCAATCTAGTGTCTTCAAACCGAATCCAACAATAAGACCCTTCCAAAGCCTTGTGGGAAATGTTTTACGTTCACACACTAGGCCTTTCCATTTATTTCAAAAGTCTTTCCTTGTAGGCGCACAGTAAACTGAATGGACTTGATCCGCCTTTGCCACTGAGATGTTCCCTAATGAATGCCCATAAAAGGCGCACTGTTTTTTCGTTATGGTCGTCGCTGCAATTCCTTTATGAACAGAGGTAACGACCACGCACTCATGCAATCTCTATCCTCGATGTCTGACAGAGGAGGGAGGTTTTTCTAGTGCAACTTCGTTCGTACATGCCATATCAAAAAAAAAATACGCTTCATATTTTTTGGGGTCATATTTATAACTCAAAACAGAGTTGAAGTTAGCCAACCATGCTCTCCGCGAGCATTTCTGAAGATTACGGGCGCCCTGCTCTGTATGGAATGCTTCAGCCTACATTCGTTTGGAACAGACTGTACTGTATCTATATATATAAAACTCAAAAATTGTCAATTTGGAGGGTATATGCGTTATAGAAACGCGCGCCGCTCAACCGATTCAGCTTGAACTTTGCACACATATGTTTTCGACCCCTGCGCAGAGGATAGCCTACTTTTTGCAGCGATTCGTTGGGTCCTTCTACCAATTTATTGTTTTGTTTACGTTTTTCTAAAGAATTGAGGGCTTATCATGTTTTCAAGCACCCGCCCTCATGTAAAGGAGGGCGGTGATGCTAACCTTCACCTCAGGATCACGAGGAAGCGGTTTCGAAGCGGGTCCCAGGGCAAGTCTTCTATCTTATATATAAAGCTGAATGTCTGTTTGTATGTATGTATGTATGTATGTCTGTATGTCTGTACGTATGTTCCGAATAGAAAATTCCATTTCTGAACCGATCCGGACCAAACTTGGCACACATACACTACGGGCCCCGGCGGGTGTCATAGGCTACTTTTCGTCATCGATCGATATCGATTTTATCGATTTTTATCGATTTTTTTGCTGAGTTCACCTACGGGGCTGGGAGTTGGCACAGGGGGGTAATCGAGCATGGGGATTCCGAATACCATATTGGTTTTCAGGATTATCGATTACTTTTATCGATTTTATCGATTTGTTTGCAAAGTTTGAGCTACGGGGCTGGGAGTTGGCACAGGGGGGGTAATCGAGCATGGGCATTCCGAATACAATATTGGTTTTCGGGATTATCGATTACTTTTATCGATTTTATCGATTTTTTTGCAAAGTTTGAGCTAGGGGGCTGGGAGTTGGCACAGGGGGGTAATCGAGCATGCTGATCATCCCCAAGGGGGGTGATCAGCATGCTCGATTACACCCCTGTGCCAAATTCCAGCCCCTAGCTCAAATTTTCAAAAAATCGATAAAATCGATAAAAGTAATGGACGATCTTGAAAACTAATATTGTATTCGTAATCTGCATGCTCGATTACCCCTGTGCAAACTCCCAGCCCCGCAGGTCAAACTTTACAAAAAAATCGATAAAATCGATAAAAGTAATGGACGATCCTGAAAACTAATATTGTGTTCGTAATCAGCATGCTCGATTACCCCCTGTGCAAAATCCCAGCCTCGCATGTCAAAACTTACAAAAAATCGATAAAATCAATAAAAGTAATCGATAATTCTGAAAACTAATATTGTATTCGGAATCCCCATGCTCACTTCCCCCCTGTGCCAACTCCTAGCCCTGTAGGTGAACTCTGCAAAAAAATCGATAAAAATCGGTAAAATCGACATCGATCGATAACGAAAAGTGGACTGTGACACCCGCCGGGGCCCGAAGTGTATGTGTGCCAAGTTTGGTCCGGATACGGCGGAGCCGGGTAAGCCAGCTAGTAATATATAAGAAGGTAGGAGGGACTCGCAGTGTAGGTGACCAATGACCCGGGCTGGACCGGGAAAGTCAACTACTTTTAAGTTATCTACCCTTCGTTTTGAAAATAGGGTCTCTGAGAACAAAACACATGTTTATTGCTTTGCAGCAATGTTATAAAGCGTTTTAATTGATAGATGAATATTTGTAGTTATCTTTTACATATGAACATCATTTCAGAGTAACGGTTGGGCAGCGTCAGTATCTTTTCCTTTTTCTGGTTGCATCTAGAACAGCAAACATTATGAACCATAGTTAATCCTAAGTTTTGATTTTGAAAGCACTGAGTACGTTCTCTCTCAGCACACCTTACAACATGACTTACACTTTGCTGCTCGTTTGCTTCTGGATATGCATCATCGTCATCGTCTAGTGGTACATAGCTCTTGAAGTGTTTTGTCGACATTAGCAAACCAGCGAAGGCTAGGATTGAGGTCAGTCCCGCAATCACTGAGCATCAGTTCTTCTATTTGTGAAAAGTCATTGGATGGTGACTCACAGCAAGCTAGCCACTGTCCTTGTATTGGAGTAGCAATTCTTTTGAGCATAAAGTTTCTCAGTGCTGGTCTGGTTATGCTGAGAGTATTACACTTTTGCGAACTGCTTTGAAGTTGTTTCTGAAAAAGTTTCTTATATCATTGTCTAGCCGGCCACCCTGGCTTCACTCGACATGTTGTAATCAGCCAAGGGACACACCGAAGGGGAAATTATGAGTATGTGCAACAAATTCCTTGCTTTTATATTGGGCCAACCTTCCCACTTGGGTTGCCTAACCTGAGTTTGTTGATGAATGCGGAAGGAAGTAATGGATAAGCTTCGTGCTTGCACAGGACCGCTGCCTATCAAAGGTGACAAAGCAAAGCGACGAGTGAACTTGACGCCAAGTTGCAGCTTTACTCCCATTGTTTACGCCAGAATTTGCAAACGGTTTGATAGAGGTTAATAAACTTCATTTTTATCGCAAGGGGTCAAGAATTGATAAATTCCTAGAATTATCCAGCACATAGGCTTGAAAAGTTGAATACATACATATAGATTCTAAACTTTGACAGTTGTTCTCACAAATTATTCTATATCTAACTCGTTTTGGTTGTAAGCTGCGAAGGCTGTACTTGAACGAAGTTCTGCCGACTGCAAGATGGACATCCAAATCTAAAAATTGATAGCAGCTCTTTTTGGATTACCCCAGTAGAGAACCTAACAAAGCGCTACACGAAACACTAACACGACTGCGTTCTTGCTTGTCTTAACTTTTGCAAGTTTTGAGTAAGATGACTCCAAAATTATCTATGATTACGAAGGCGAAAAACGGTCAATGAATCGAGAGTTTAGAATTTTCATGCCATATAAGCATCTGCCAGGTGTATTCTCTGTTTTTTCGTCAGAGTGGTTACTGAAGACTTGCAGGACTTGGAGCCTGCGGAGCACTCGTTCATCGTGTAGTGCTTCAACCCAGTTGCTCGAACAGCAAACTATCTTCCGTAAGGTTTCAGAACGTGGCCCAAAAGCAAGTTAACCTTTCTTATAGCAGCACCTCTCACCTACGTCCTCGTCCCACATAGGAGTAAGTTTTCATTGTATCATCATCGACTCAATCATCATTAAAACTTTGTGAAATTGTCGTCACTGTGAAAGAGACTTTCGCTTGGGTTACTATTGAGCTTTTGCTGAGTTACTTGAGAGTTTAGTGACCTAATATTTACTCGTTAGTTTAAAGCCAATTCATATTTGTTGAAATAAGGAATAAGCCTACTAGGTGGAAGTTATCTTTCATTTGGTTTCGCTTTGAGGGCGTGCATGCTATCTGCAACTCAGCTATTGGTCGCGTCTACGCTTTCAGAATTTATGCATTTTTCTCTAGCTAATAATTTTCCAGTAGCCTCTTCAGCTATCAGTGTGGTTAGAATAACACAGCGCGTGATATGGCAATTTGAAGGAGTCGTCCCATTTAATTTCTAACGACGTGTTTTAGCATTATTGAAATGTCTATTCGTCATAAACAAACATACCAAAAATTCAGCAAAGATCTCGATCACATTTTTTACAAAAACTTCCAGATTGGTGGTGAGCGACCCGGCCATTTCTTCTTGTTCGTTTTGTAAATTAGTGATCTAAAGCAAATATTCTAAGAACAAGTATACACTGCAGGGTGTTTGGAAAATACTGGCCTAAAGCACTTCCTATACAAATTTTGACGCCCTTTTTTGTTTCATTGTGCTCATCAAACCTAGAAACTATCAGTTCAATAAAAAAACAAGTTTCTTTGTTATTTTCTTGGTTTTTGAGTCAAAACCAGGGCCCGGCACGAGCTTGTCAAAAGGGGTTTTCGAAAACGAATTCCCCTTTGACCCAAAATTTTTCTTACGAATACCCCTTTGACCCAAAAACTGATCCCTCTGCTTGTACATTGCACACTTTACTAGAAAACAAGATTTCTACTCAGAAAAAAGGTATCCAAAAATTTTATCAACAACAATGTCGACAAACAGCGGGTACATTTTAGAGATTCACATTGAGATCAACACTAATAAAGCCCAACACGTGATAGTAAGTCATCTTGTAATGCTGTTCCTGACACCCGTGGAGAGATTTAGCGCAGAAAAGTGAGACTAGAAATAGGATTGGAAAGCACCATAAATTCGAACACAACGAAAGACACACTTACATCCTTCAGATGTAGATGTTCTTGCAAGTCTTTTGATGTGACCTAGCAGTTGATTTGCAACGGAGGACCTCGCACGCCATCGATCTGAATCGTAAACATTCTTAAGAGCTGAACAGCTTTTCAAACTCGTGAACAGTTCGCCTATGGCGAGACCGTAATCAATGAAGATTATAGGACAGTCATAGGAGCAAAACTCTAAAGTTTTCGCACACTCAGAGATCTTCGTACATTTCACTACCTATTCAAAATAATAGTTTGAACAAGCTTTTTTTACAGAAAAATGTATTGAGATTCTGTGCTCACCTGTGACCGTATTCATCAACGAATCCAGTGGGTTCCGGAACCCACTGGGTAGGCTTAACCCACCACAAAGTCGGTATTCACGAAGCTAGTGGGTTAGCGAACCGCAGTGCTTATGATTAATACCGATTGTAGCCTGTGGGTTCGCAAAACGAAATCGCGAACCCACTGGTTGCGGAACCTACTGGGTTTGTTGATGAATACGGCCACTGGGTGTATGGCCATGCTGACTGAAAATCCACGTTGGCGAGAGGAAAAACAGCGAAAAAGGGCTCCAACGAAGGAGGGAAGTCAGCAGGTGGGCGGGGTCTTCCCCACTGTGAATTCACGCTTCCAGCTTCCGAAACGACCTTTTCAAACGACCTTTTCGGTTCCGATTCTAAGCCACGCGTTCGCTGGCCGGTGGTGATCATCAGGGCGGGTATCGGAATCGAGAGGATCGCTGAAGCTGGAACATGAATTTACAGTGGGGAAACTCCAACCTGCAAACTTCCCTTCTGCCTTAGAGCCCTTTCCGCCATTTTTGCGCTCTCCAGTGTGGATTTTCGGATTTGACGTAGCGAATAGGTCCGGGTAAGCATAAAATCTCAAAATGACTTTTACCCCGGACATTGCCTTCGAGCGTGGCCTTAGGCCCCGGACAGACTTCACTCGATTTCATTGTCGCGATTGAATCGCGACAAGACAATTGTTACAACATCATCCCATGCCGATCAACTTGCATTCGGTTGTGATATTTTTCAGCCCGAAATTTTTGATTGTAAAATGAAAATGATTGAAAATCGCGGCAATTGAATCGCGACGATCAAATCGCGTGAAGTCTGTCCGGGGCCTTAGAAAGCCTGCAAACCGCGTCGGCTGCCTTTACGCCGGTTGCCGCTTTCGCGCCGTAGCGCAATCATCGGAACAGCGAAAAAAACACTTCAAGTAAAACACATGTGCAAAAAAAAATTCTTTAATGTGAATTGAAAGAAAAACTTCAGGATGACAGAATACTAATAAAGGAATCAAAACCTTGTAAATATCTGCTTAGTGCGAATAAGTCCTGCTCACGTTCTCCACGGATGAAACTGCGAGCGCGCTTCGGCGCAAAGGCGACAAGGGCGCAAAGGCGGCAATCGGAAGGCCTTCTCAGGTCTGGCATGCCCCACGCGATTTCAATCGCGATGGGATTTGGCAACACTTCGATTGCAGTCATTCATGCTGCGGGCATTCTAAAGGTGCACGCGACGGAACCGCGCGGAGAATGCTTAAAGGCAGTGTCCGGGCAAAGAGTCGATTTTGAGATTTTGTGCTTTTCCGGGCCTATTCGCCATGCTGACTTCGAAAATCCACATTGGAAAGCGCGAAAACGGCGAAAAGGGCTCTAACGCAGGAGGGAAATCAGAAGTGGGCGGGGTCTTCCCCACTGTGAATTTCGCGGTCCCAGCTTCTGAAGCGATTTTCTCGATTCCGTTAGCGCGCTAAGATCTTCACAGGCCAGGTGCAAATGCAATGACTTGAAATCGGGACCGAGAAGATCGCTCCGGAAGCCTGGAGCGTGAATCCGCAGTGGGGAAGACCCCGCCCACCAACTGATTTCCCTCCTGCGTTATAGCCCTTTTTGCCGTTTTTGCGCTTTCCAATGTGGATTTTCGGATTCAGCAAAGTGAATAGGCCCGGATAAGCGCAAAATCTCAAAATCGACTTTTTGCCCGGACACTGCCTTAAGGCCCTAGGTCCCATAGACTGGGTTCATACTAATGCTAATGTCTCGGTATTGTTCTCGCACAGTTCTCGCACTGTGCTGGAACTGTTCCGGAACTGTGCTGCATGCGCTGCAGCCGCCCCGCACGCGTTGTGAACGGCGAGAGTTGGAGAATTTTAACCGTTTTCAACGGTTCTTCATCCAGATTTCTTGAATTTTGGCCTTTTCCTCTACCCCGCTTCCCTTTTTGCACAGCAGAACTTCGAACTTGAAGCGGGGTTGAGGACTGTACGCTGTTCTGCGCTGTTCATGTATCCGGGAAGATGGACCTTCGTGCGGTCGTCCATCTTCTCTTCCATTTTTGTTCAGGCCTACTTCATGTGTTCTGGAAACCCGTCTATGTAATATAAATGCGAGACTACGCACCGCCTTCCTGGAACACATGAAGTAGGTCTGAACAGAAATAGCGAAGAGAGAATGGACAAGCGCACGAGGAACCGGTAGAAGAAAGAACGGAGAAGCAACAATAACGAAAAAGGAAAGGGATGAAAATGCTCAAACGACGAAACGACAAATGGAATAATCTGAGTAAAAATAAAGCGAAGAGAAAATGGACGAGTACAAGGACACACGTTTCTTGTCTTGTTTCTAAAAAACACCCTCTTCAACCCGCTTCGAGTTCGAAGTTCTGCTGAGCAAAAAGGGAAGCGAGGTAGAGGAATAAGGCCAAAATGAGAAAAATCTGGAAGGAAAACCGTTGAAAGCGGTCAAAATTCCCCAACTCCCGCCGTTCACAACGCGTGCGGGGTGGCTGCAGCGCATGCAGCACAGTTCCGGAGCAGTTCCAGCACAGTAACTGTGCGAGAACAGTTCCGGAACATGGCAATCAGTATGAATTCAGCCATACCTCAAACGACTGTCGCCATGCGATATGGCAATTTGCCAGATGCAACAACTGTCATACCACAAATGCATAGCTTGTACGAGTTGAGCTAAAAAAAAAAATTTATCCTCTACACTAAAACGCGTGCACGATGAGTTATGGACAACTGGTATTGCCAAATCGCGTCGCGACCAAAGTCGCGTAAGGTATGGACAAGACTACGCAAACGAGCATAGTGCACGCGTAGTATGTACGTGAAGTACTACCCATGGGGATCAATCTTACTGACCAAAATAAGGAAGTCAGAAAAACTGTAAAATAAAATGCAAGAAAATCTCAAAACAGAAGAGAAAATTCCGAGAACAAAGAAGAAAGTTCTGTTGCTTACCTTATGCTTTTCAAGGATAGCATATTGCTAGAATTCCGCATTCCAGCCATATTGTCACGTCGCCAGCTCTCTAATCAAAAACTTCTGAAGACATCGCGAGTCGGTGCACGTATTGAACATATCACCTTCCGTACTATTAGCTAAATCCTAAATGAAATAAAGTATTTCGTAAAGTGGGACGGGGACGCGGCAGTTCAGCGCCGACTAGTACACGAATGAAGAAAGAAAAAAAGCTATTTCTAGATAGCGTGATCGATATTTGCAACTGTCACAAATCCACTTAAATCAAGAATATATGGTTGTTCTAGCCAATGAGAATCGACAGCTACGAAGCAAAGCAAGTGAAATGGAAGAGAAACCGGGAAACGACATGGGGCCAGGAAAGAATAGGCAAAAGCTAGCTGGGTGCAAAATACATATGAAGAAGTAACGCAAGCCACAGCCTTTCCAAAGTAAATTATCGAAACGAATAACGGCAACAATCATATATGAGGAAGAAGGAAGGAAGTCTCTGTCGAAAACAGATGAGCGAGTTGAGGAGCAAATGATCAAAGCAAATGATCAGTGACACATTGCGAACAACATCATCTAAAATCGATAGGCAAACAATTTACAATCTAGATTGGATGAAAAAAGTGTAGAAGAGGGAGGAAAAAAGCAACAATGACAAAGTATTACAGCAACGCCGATTATATCACTCAACGAGGCCATTCTCGCGCATGTCGATTGGAGCGCGCTTTCCTCCTTAGGAAACGGGGCTGTAGAGGCTATTTTTGCCTCTAGCAATGAGGAGAGGAGGAGGTTTGAAACCAAATTCTCAGTATATACTAATCTTTAGGCGTAGAGTAGATTTATGTAAAAATTTTGAAAAAATTATGTGAATTGAGAATTTTGCCAAGCTCAGCTTGTCATTAGCTTGTCAAATGACAAGCTAATTTGGAAATAAGTTGAGGAAACTCTTCATTCACATAAGTTTTTCATAATTTTTCATACTTTGTTACTTAGTCGTACTGCGCATATACACACCGAATCCCGCGCGATTTCATCGCCTCTGCGTTGCAAACGAGCCATTTTTCCATTTCTTTGATAGCGGGAAATTTTCAGAAAAAACTTTGCCACAACCTTCAGTCACATAATTTTCCAATGAAACTCCTAAGTTAGCTCCCACAGGCTTGTGTCCACGTGCGTACCAAGTTTCATACCATATCTTCATCTGCGCGTTGCAAACGAGCCATTTGAATTTACAACTTCATTTACCAATTTTGCAAAATCTTTGGAAAAAATGCTTATTACTGTCCCGTTCACATAAGTTTTGCATAATTTTTCATACTTTGTTTCCATTAGCCTCTTTCCGTTCGCCTACAGAATCTGGTGTCATACCGTGACGCGTACATTGAGAACTAGTCATGTATGTAGCTCGTTTGAGCGACGTCGCGCGTGCGGCAATTAGCGACGGCGCGGTTTGACGCGCGCGAACTCCAGTCTTCGCATGTTGAGGCACATAACATGTTAAAATAAGCAGAGAACGTGCACTACCAATTTTTTTTCCGGGGCTCCGCCCCGGACCCCGCATAAACGATTTCCCCTTTGGTTTTTTTGCCTAAAACGATTTCCAGCTTGTCATTTGACAAGCTCGTGCCGGGCCCTGGTCAAAGCGCAATCGATATAGCTTTTCATGCCTCTTTTCTTGAAATGCTTATTAGAAACAAGAAAACATATTTCACAGAAGACTCTGTACACCACACGAAAGCCCTTTCTTTCTTTTCTTATATGTAGTTTTATTTTTTGAGTTAGTTTCGAATACCACACCCTGAAAAGAAAAGTTTAATTTATAATTTTTTCTTCAAAAAATCCAGCTTCAAAGTTTTTTTTATCTTCAAAAACTTTACAAGCGTGCCACTTTTTAAAACGAACACAGCGAGAGTTATAGAGTTGTGCTACAAGTACATCAAAATGAGTCCAAAATTTCGAACTAAAATATTCCAACGCAAAACGGATGATTGTCTGCTGTAAATGCGACATGAAAAATCTTTGTTCAAAAGCTACTGGAGAACTTTTGTTGTACAAAAAACCGTAGATCAGGACTTTTCGTAAAAGAAAAAAGGAAGTTGCCTCCTTTTCACGGCGCTGAAGAAATTAGAACAAACAAATTAACGCACTCTTCAGCCTCTTTAAGGAATTTGATAAAAATGTCTTCCAAATTTTCTTAGTGTTTCTTGAAGCAAAGAATGTCTCTAGGTTTAGCAAACACATACAACAGAAGGAACTGGAATTCGCGATTAGAGGACTTTAGGCCAGAAAGTTTCCAAACAACCTGTATTACCACTCGACGTGATTACCTTTTGAACCACTTCTTTCGCTTTTTCGGCTACTGCGATTATATTGTTTTTGAATGCGATAGAGGGCTTCTTTATGTCTAAAAGCATAATGGTAGTACTTGAGATGTTGCCGCTAGCCAGTTAAAAAAGAGCACTACTATAGCGGTTTATTTGTTGCGATCAAGATATGCATTTAACACGTTCTGAAATGCTTTATGGACATTCTTTATTTGGAAAATACAGTTCAAGCTCAAATTAAGTTCTGCCGAGTTTTGATCAAAACTATAATAAAAAGATCCTATAAGCTTTATTTCGCTCTTCTCATCTCATGCCAAAGCATATGAGCAAAACTTGACATTATTACTTTGCCGAATCGCTCGATTTTCGTTAACTCCTCGCATACAAAGATAGGCATCTCAAGATTTTGAAATGGAAGGTTACTTGCACTCCATACATCAGAACACAGCAGGTCCTAGCGCACTACGCACCGTGAGAGTCGGCATGCCACAATGCAATAGACATGAGAGTCCCGAAACGTCTCTACGTCTCTAACCATGGAGGGAAGTGGTCCACTCGTCCATATTTGAAATGAGGGGCCTTATGCTGGTTTTCGCCATTTTCGCGAAAAGTGCATTTTAGGAATCAGCGCGTCGAATTGCCCCAGGTAAGCAAAAAAACCACACGTTGAGGATTTGCCGAGCCATTGCGTTTAACGGTTTATCCGCTATGTTCCGCAACATTCCCAGCATAGCACACAATTTAAGCGCTATGCTGGAACTGTTCCGGGACTTACGTATTAATATGAACCCAGGCTTAAAGAGCCCGTAAGCGTAGAGATACCATAAAGTTCTACAACAACGGGCAACCTCGGCAATCTCGGAAAGGGTAGAAGATTAAACTCCGCTATTGGGCCGCCTCGACTACTGGTCCCACAACGAAATGCAACAACATTGCAAAAGAATTAGTTGTCAGTGAAGGCGGCCAAAAATGCCGGAGTTCGTTCTCCTACCCTCTCGACAACCTCAGCAACCCTGGCAACAATTGCCAGCAACCCATGGCAAATCTCTTAAGGAGCTTGCCAATGCTTGCATCTTCAATGATGTGAAGTATGTGGTCTTGAAAAGATTTCAAAGAAGATACATATAAGTGTGTCGGTGCAGAACTTGATAAGTGTTTAACGACGAGGAGGTTAGGGAAACGTAAAACTACGCAACATTCCACTCGAGAAATACCATGCGTCACTCAGACATTCGCCAGTTCTCCCGCAGAGATTCGCTCAAATGACTGATTGCACCAAAATCTGGCGCACCGGCGGAAGCCTCCATTTTCTTTTGTTCTAATTTCCGTGCACTTTAGTCCGACGCGCGAGCGCATGTTCTCATGTGAAACGCAGGGGTGTATGCCCTTCTGAAGCGCTTCATCCTAGCGCTAATTACTCTGTCCGGGCGCGCTAATTACTCCGCCTTTCTTAGCGAGGCACACGAATAACGATAGTGACGCTGTTTGAATTACGAAGACAAAAAGTTGGAAAAGTTGCATGTTTCTTACAAGCCTTTCGTGATTTCTTTGCCCTTCCCACTTTTCAAAACACCACGAAGTCTGCACGCGTAAGCTGAAGGATTTACCTAAGCCGCCCACGTACAACATTTTTGAGTTTTATGGGAAACCCGAAATCTTGTTTTATTCTTTTAATCTGAGGATGCCTTTGCAGTCCAATTCAGACGTCTCAAACGACAGCATAGTTCTCGCCTACTCAAGCGCCGCGGCAGCGCCGACCAATCAGAGGCGCGCAGTAATTAGGCTGCTAACGCCAGCGGTTCAGAAGGGCCGTCTCCCGAAACGCCGCTGTCCAACCAATCTTCGCGCTTGGCAATGCCGAGTATCACGAATAAAATTTTAACAACTACTCATTCTGAAGCTTTTTTTCGGGCGAAATTGGTAATTTGCGTAAATGAACTTCTTTGCAGAAGAACAAACGCAAATTTGAACGTGTAGGTTATGTTTTGGTAGTCACCATAGAAGAACAATAATCAGCGTGAGCTACATCTTTGTGCAAAAATCCTTGTCATCGGTTAAAACCTTGTTAACATCGAAACCCTCACATTGACCAACTACGCAGCCCACTTTTGGCGCGGTTTCTGTAAAGCAATAGACTTTTGATCACTTTTCTAGGCATGAGTCGATGGCTTGCATATTTACTTGACAAACACATACGACTCTGCAAAAAGTGGAAATACGGATCTAACCTTGCGGACCAGAAACCAAGTGTATTCGTTTTACGCGTGGTTTCTGAGGGAACCACTCAACGAACTGCGTACTTTTGCATGTTGGGCTTTCATGCATGCACAGTGCAAAATTCCCAGGAAGTTGAAATTTCGTAACACACACACAACACACACAACACACACAACACAACACACACACAACACACACAACACACACAACACACACAACACACACAACACACGCAACACACACAACACACAGCACACACAACACACACAACACACACAACACACACACAACACACAACACACACAACACACACACAACACACACAAATTGCGTAAATATCCTTAACCCGTTATTTTAAGTAATGATGTTCACTTGAACGGTTTAAGAACTCACTATCGCCGTACTCATCAAAACTGATCTTTGATAGGTTTTTGTTGATTGCCTAAATTGTAAAAGTCTCTTATATGTTTCATTATTACATCTAATAAACAAGAAGAATCGCGATCAACGGCAAGACGGATAACTGGCTTCTATTGGCTATTTGTTGATTGTCGTACCTGTGCAGCCAAATACGCTTCAGCAAAGTAAACTTTATAATCTTCCAAATTTTTCTGGAATATCCTACTTTGATTACCTTCTTTTACTATTTTTTTCAAACCCTAAATTTTCAGTAACTCAACAATCAAAGTATGGAGAACATGGTAACCTTCTCCAAATCAGCAGGCTTCAACACTTTCCCTAGCCGTACAGCATTGTAAAAGTCCTGTTTTTCTTGACAGTTCTCCAAAACATCTCTGAATTTATCGCACTGATACTCGAATTTGCTTAAAGTCAAACGAGGAGGCTTGAAAAATCATTACATGAGTTTGATGTGAATCGTTTCATGTGAAATTGGCGATGTTAGCGATAAACTCGCTTTTTCAAATATTAGGAAATCACGAAACAGCGCACTTGTAGAGGTCAGAGCTCCATAACCGATTAGCAGTCCATAGCTGAACAAACCTAATCACAATATGCTACTTCCTGTTTTGGAATTTAGGCACCGAACCACAAGGTTGGAAATTAATTCACATTGTAAAGTTCGGCCAACTTTTCAAACCTTATTCAAGTGAATAAGGTGAACCTATGCCTGCTCTACGTCTTGTATATGAGAACCCGATGACGGTGACATGACTGCAACTTTAACTTCTTTTCGGTCTTTTCTCTAACTTCCAAGGCACTGCTTGCGGCGTAAGCATTCACGGAGACGGCGTAGAAGAGAGGGCAATTTGTTGCCCGAGTAGATAACAAATACATACAGGGCTCGGCACAGGGACTCACGAGGGCCGTATTTAGTTCTGGGGGTGAAAAGCAAAGGGGATAGCGTTGGGAGTGGTAAAAAAATTTCCAAAATCTCTTGATCGCGCGAGGCAACCTAAAAGAAACTGGATTTTCATATTAAACTGAATGAAAAAAAACTTCGACGGTCTGCCAACTTTGCGTCCATTAACTCAACAAATTTTTGCAGCCCTTGCTCTTTACAAATTACCTCAGCTATAGTTATGAGCCGTACACATATATTCTCTACTTTTATAAACCCTTTCCTTATGTTCTGGAGACGTCGCAACATTTTGCGCATAACGAACACTTTCTCGCTCTGAGTGCAAGCGCGAGAATTCGAAAAGGCTTTTATATAAACAAATGGCTTGTTTACAGCGAAAGGAAATAATTTGGTACAGAACTGATGTGATGAATTTTCTCCCTTCACATAACGTCCATCCCTTGTGCTTAACACTGATTTACATCTACAATTCTACAAACGAGTTGTTCCACCTCCCAGAGCCCTCCCTTTTTGTCTACCTTAAAATCTTATAGATAAGTCCGCTTTTTGAGAAAAATCGATGAAAATGCACCCTCGCACCGCCAAGAATCTTGCAGATAAGTCCTCCCATCAATTCCGCCTATAGATAAGTCCGGAATTATCTGATAGTCTTCGGACTTATCTAACAAGATTTCAGGGTAGTTGTAATGGGAAGAAAATAGAATCTGTAGGCGAACTTATCTGAGGGGCATTAAAAGAGTCAAAAAAGTGGAGCTATCTGAGGCGCACTTATCTGATGGGAGGACTTATCTGTGAGATTTTAGGGTACTTAAAACCCTTCAAAAGTTTTGAATGGCGCTGCAAGCCTGCTTCAGGCGCGCGGCTGTGCGTGCCGGGTACAGCATGCGGTCAACTTGGAGAATACAAATAACACTAGGTTCTTTGCTGCCTGTTTGAAATTGTTCCGTATATCTTGTTCTATTTCTCTTTGTTGAATGTTTGGTTCTTTCGCATGAGTCCTCATGAGCGTGTCATAAGGAATTTCGTGATTTTGTTGCGAAGTTAACGGGATTAAAGGGACTTTGGGAAAAAGCCACCTCGTGCCGAGCCCTGAATACATCAGCTGATATTATTTTAGCGTAGAAACGCGCGAACAACACACTTTTGACCTTACAAATGAGTTGGCGTTCGCTTGAAGCAAGCATGAGAAAGGGCTTCTCTAAAGGATCTAACTTAATATACTTCATTTGCTCACAAAGATCTAATGGGTTTGATCTCAAGGTTGCGAAGTCATTTCAAGGATACTCTATATTTATAGAAGCATTTGACAGCGAATTTTTTTACTTGATTAATGCACAACTGGTTTGCTTTTCTTTTGTTAAGCGCACTTATCATGATAACAATTTGAGTCGGTTAGGTTTGAGGTTGATGGCTTGGTTGACGGTGGGATGAACTGGACGAAATTCAATATCCATCCCGTTTATGGGTGCGTATGACGAATAAAATTCTTGGTAAAAGTGCTTATAGGCTAAACGCAATCGACTTTCAATCTTGAATATGTCCTATCTCGTAGTGCCTTTACGCTAAACAAGAAAAAGGTTGGTTGACCCAAGCTCTACCTTTCAGCAAAGAACAACGGTTCTGCTTGATTAGAAACAGGTAGACCTTTACAAAATTGTTGAGACCGTCCCAACAAGGTAAATTTACTGTTTTTTTTGTTAGCCGAACGCCAGTGGTCTTAATCACCTATGTGTTCAGTGCACAAAAAGCGTCGAGGAACATTATACCTAAGGCAGATCTCACGCGATGGGTTGTCATAACTGTTTATAACTGTTCGTAAGCGTTCTTTGCTTGAGCAAAACTTAATGGGTTATCAGATATTGAGAAGCTAAGCGCCCAAGCACCAAGGAGCAGCGCATCATGATTGTGTATACAGCTGGGCAAGCTAGTTGCGTAGAGGTTCAAGAAATCACTATGCACACTATGCATTTGTTATCCTAATTGTAGCGCGATTCGCCCCCAGCTGCATTCGAATTAGTAAGAAGAAAAGAAAATGGAAGAGTACCAGAATGTGAGGAGGTTTCAAGACACCTATTCACAGGACATATTAGGTTGTCCGAAAATTAATGCCCGTTTTGAATTTGAACCATAATAGTTCATACACTTCTCACTTCTAAATAGGTTGCAAAGCACCATTCGATAGAGCAAAGCAAGCTCTACAAGAAGGCCACTTTGCTTTTGCGAAGCTCTCATCCACCTCGAGTTTCGAGCCAAAAACTAAAAAGACTCAGCAGCCCGAAAAATCGAAAAAAATCGTAACTCTGTTCACAAAAATCCTTCAAAAATTCTTACTTGCTCACGTAAACACTACCCATATAAAGCATCTATATACGCCTTTGCCGTATTTTTTCTTCTGTTAAAAACCAAAAAAACGGAATTTTTTGTGCATTCGTCAAAGTGATGCTGTGCCACCCTCACATAGGTAGTTGTATACACAAGCCTGTAGAAGTACAAACTTAAATTTTCAGCTTTCTACAAGCTGTAGTTCTCGAGAAATATCGAGTACAGTTTTCCTTACCCATGTGGTCCAAGCTAAAATTCAAATTTCTCGAGAACTAAAGCTTGTAGAGAGCTGGAAATTTACGTTTGTACTTCTACAGGTCTGTAGTATACAACGACTTATGTGGGAACGACACAGCATCACTGCGGCAAATGAACGAAAATTTCCGTTTTGTTGATTTTTAACAGAGAAAAAAGAACGGCAACGGCGTATATAGATGCCCTATGTGGATTGTGTTTACGTGAGCAAGTTAGAATTTTTGTAGGATTTTATGAACTGAGTTACGATTTTTCTAGATTTTTCGGGCAGTTAAATCTTTTTAGTTCTTGGCTCGAAACTCGTGGTAAATCAGAGCTGTTGCTAAAGCAAGATGGCCGTCTTGTAGAGCTTGCTTTGCTCTATCGAATGGTACTTTGCAACCTTTTTAGAAGTGAGAAGTGTATGAATTATTGCGGTTCAAATTCAAAACGGGCATTAATTTCCGGACAACCTAATACATCCACTCCAAAATTACTTTGCAGCATATATTCCACGGCAAATGTCCTCGTTCTCAATATCCCATCCAAGACTGGTAAGAGCACCAACTCACGAGAACATAACGAAAATAATGGCACCAAAAACGACAGTCATATAAGCAAAAGCACCGATCACTTCTGCTGTTATCCTGGACAAAATTCCTCGTTTTGGAGTTGGTTCACTAAATGACTGTCCCATTCTAGTATGCTCGAGAATGCTGAAATGATACTTTTCGTAATTCTCGTAAAATCACATATACTTAGCGCTGGAAAATTGAATCCTGAACGAGGCTACAGCGTCCAAGCTATGTTCATAGCGCTACCTAAAATGACGTTCACTGTAGTTCAAAACTATAACTCGTTTCGCAGACTCTAGTCAAACCCAGCAAATTTTCAGCTTATCTTGGTTATATTGAGTCACATGTTACATGACTGAGAAGAACAGTGAAGTAGTAAAAGAGGTGTTTACGCTATTTCGAGAGTGTTGCAGAAGGAAGACATTTGATGTTTGGAATAGTTTTCAAAAATGAAAGTCTCGATAACAGAAAAAGCAGCATCCTTCTCTTAAAAATCGTAGGGTGCTCCATCACACTTAATCACAAAACTAAAGAAAGGGGTGCCTCCTTTTCTGCCATGAGATTGAGACCTCTAAACTCGATGACAGACTGGTTGGGCAAGGTTGATATGATGATGGTGTTATTGAGAGCAAACGCCCTCGGACGCGTCATCGCACAAGTGCAGAATTATACACAGTGTTTGATCGGAGAAGCCCTATGGGGAATCTGAGAGACTTACATTGAGGAGAAACCCTCGCCCACCTGTAATTTCTCTCTCTGGATTAGAGTGCGCATGCGCCGTAGTACTGGAATTCTTACAGCGAATGTGCATCACAGCTCCAACGGGAACTGTTTCATTCATTCGAAACGTAGAGTTTTATAAAAGGACACTTTCAGGAGACTATTTGCACACCTACTTTGCCTTACGCAGTCCACGGCCATGCTTTTGGCCTCAAAGAGAGAATTCACGAATTTGGCCTTATATCTTGTAAGTTAACAACTTGTGACTTGTGAAATCAGTGAACTGAAGGAAGTTGGGGTTTGGGAAGTTATTCTTAACAGTATTTGCTTGATAACCCGACTATTTTCAGAGCATTTTCTTTATACTTTCCTATCATAAACACGCTATGCTATAATACTCTCTTCGAGCTCCATACCTAGCTAAAATCAGCCCAATATGGTGAGTACCCAAATGTTGCTCACACAGATTGTTGTCATTGATGTTGTTCCTGAGCATCTGGTCAACAGTGTTGCCTTGGAGTCACTTATTCTACACTTACTGAACGGTGCTCTTTAACAAAACCTATCACGTTTGCTGACGAACTTAAATATGGTTTACTACCAATTTGAGGGTTATGGATAGCCTCAAATACTGATCTTCATCCAAACTCGAATGTAGTGTTAAAAACTATTCCTAGTCTCTTTTTTCCCTCTGTTCAAAAAAAGCCTACTTATTATAATCCAAAGCAATTTATACTCAACCACTTCTTGCTGAGGAGGCACTAGCAGAGATTCGAAAAGATGATCGTAGTCCATCACTTTTCTGAATATTCTCTTTGAGAGATTGGAACGTCGTCATCTACAGGGTTGGGGGAAAGTCTTTGGACACGGTATTTTTTAACGTAATGATGAAGCTAGGCAAGATGATTACATGAAATCAATAGGTAATGTTTACAACTGTCTGCTACACAAAACTGGCTTTACAAATCGAAGATTCCTCCTTTGATGCGAGCACAAGCTCGGAAACGCTTGGGAGCACTGTCCATGATAGCACGGAGGTGCTTCACGTTCATTTCTTCAGACGCCTTCTGAAGAGCAAGTCGCAAAGAAGTTACTGTCTTGCGTGGGTGAGCGCAGGCTTTGGCCTAAGGAACTGAGCGCACACTGTAGTCGGGGTTTTTTAGATCCGGCCAATACGGAGGCCATTCCGCAGGAGTAGTGAACTCCTTGATGTTGCTTTGGAGCCATGCTTGCACAAACTTCGCTTTGTGCGCAGGTGCGCTATCCTGCTGAAGACAGCAATCGCTTCCTGCAGAATGGCTACTGGTCCAGGCCAACAATCCCTTCTTCAGAATGCTATCCACGTGCGTAGCGGTGTCCACCTCGATGTTCTGGGAACACAAAAATCGCCAGCATCTTGCTGTCGGAAGCGATCGCCGCGCAAACCATTACAGAAGCCGGATGAAGCTTTTCTTCTGCGATCAACTCTTGCTGTTGACTTCTGGGGCGGTTAGGTGATGATTCAGTTATTTGGTGATCAAAAACTTTCCTCACGGTGAAAATTTTGACGTCAGAAGAGTATCGTTCGGTGGCGTGCCTTGAAGAGACGTTCAGGCAGTCAATGGCATCTGTGCAGTTAATTCAGCTTCGTGTCTTCCCAAAAAGCATAATATATTAGCATCCCGAAAAGCTTCATAGCAAGGCCCTCTTTCACGATGTCGGAGACTGCCCTGCCAGAGATGAATAGCTCTGAAGCCAACTCAATCAAGCTTCGCCGAGGATTGCGACGAAGGCGTTGGCGAACGATTTTCAGAATTTTGTTACAGTCCGCAGAAGCCAATTTACCACTCATACAAGAGTCCTGGGTGCTACTCATATCCAGAAAATGACGCAAGGTGGAAAAGACCCTGATCTGTAAAATTTGAGGAGCGCGCGATTTGCTGGTCAGCCATCCTCTCCTTGTTCACCTTCTCCACCACGCTCACTCCATTCCAAAAGGCATATCTCCACAGGAAAAAAGCTAATAGTCCAGTTTTTTGAGAGCTTGTACTCAAGAGTATAAGAAGCAAACACATTTAATTAGCATGCAGAAATTTGTGGAAAAGCCGAACATACAAGAACATCAAAAACTGTTCCAAGGATTTTCCCCCAACCCTGTACTTCCGCTAATAATCTATATCCGAGTTTGTTGCTTGAAGGAAGGTGGTAAGCTCTTATTATGAAAAATGCCAGTTCCGCAACGATACACCTTCTCATCCTTATAAACTAAGCGATCATTGCTCAGATGGCATCAAACTCAAGGTGAAAAAGCAGCAAAGAGTAAAAGTTCGGAAAGGGCAGTAAACATCAATTTTTAGCCAAGAAACATTACCATACAATTATTTCAAACATGACCAAACATTGAAAAATTTCCCCAGCCTTGCGACTTGTTCCTGCGCACTGACTCTCCCACCGGAGACAAGTTGTATGCAAATTGAGGCTTGAAATCGCCAAAAGCATGACCGCGAGAAGCGTGAGTCATGCTAAAATGTACGCCCCGAATACATTTTCCAACAGTGCTCTTCTCGTTCAAAGCTATATTTGAGGTGAATTACTCGTTTAGTATAGCGGGCAAGCCCAACTAAGCTATAAAGCTACAATTTGAATTTTTGCCCGCATAATGCCTCTTTTAAGACTAGGCTGGGAAAGATGCTTAGATCTTTAGATAGCTATGATCTTTATCTTGAAAGCCTTTGTGGTCTTAGGCTCATACTCACCTTAAGCTCAAGGCTATTATCGTACATATGCACATTGCAGCTACAATTATAGGAAACCAGATACCAAGTAAAAGCTTCATGGCATGCGATGCGACACCCTAAATCTATTGGTGTGTATGCCCGAAAATAAATTATTTTCTCTTGTTTTGCTTAGTCGCGAAATTGTTGATGAGTAGAGTAAATTTATGAATGAAGACGCTTGAAACATTCTTACCTTACCTTCCTCGTTCTCTCAAAAAACAATCTGTTGTGTCATCCTCCCGGAATACTCACCTACTCAAGGCTCATTTTTACGGTTGCACAATCTTAAATTTGGGCCATGATGCGAATCAGTAAGTAGTCATGCACCTCTTTGCTTTTTGGTAAAAGTACCGGAAAAGCTACTTTCTTTTTTGAATTTCGTCAACCGTCAGCTGTATGCATCAGTGTAGATTAGCTATGGAAGAGCGGCTGGATAGGCTTTGCACTATTCACTACTCTAAAGGTTGGAAATAAGGCGGTCCAAATTTTTTTTTACCAAAGCTTGACGTAAGCTACAGGGAGATCATGGAAAAAATCGAAACCAAAAGAGCGGTCATGATACACTCTATCACAGTTGCTATCAGGCCCAAAGCGTTGGCTTAACAGTTGACGAGAGCCATTTTTTGAGGTCTGTACCTGTGGATGAGAAGTCTCCGTGCATCCCTACGCCTGGCCGCATGTATGTATGCATGTATCCATGCACGAAATATGATATGCGCAAGCCCCGTCCCCATGTGGCAAGCTTTGCCCACTTAGATAAAAGTGTCAGAAATTGCCCGAATTTCAAGAATTCATGCGAATTCCGCCACTTTTAAAAATGGGCGAAGCTTGTCTGATGGTGGGCGGGGACTGGTAAAAGTTGCTTGAGTTCTTTTCATTCATCCACGGTTTTTTATAAACAGAAAGGGTCCTTGTGAGAGGCATAGATGTGGGCGAAGTTGCCAAAGGGGGCGGGGCTGATTGAAGTACATCTGAGCCTATGCTGATTATAGGAACAAAAATGAGAGGATTGGATAGATAGTATTGAAATTAAGGCCGCCGCGCACCACTGCGCGGGCGTCGTCCACAAGGGCTAGGCGTACATCGTGCGATTTCATCGCCTTGTGAATCTCCCAATCTCCCAACAAGACAACTGTTACGAGTCCATTGCATGCCACCATCTTGCATTTCGGTTGTGGTACTTAATGCGATAAACGCAATCGAGGACATAACCAAAATTACAAGATAGCATGCAATAAACTGGCAACATGTCTTGATGGAAGAATCGCGAGGAGATAGAATTGCGTGACGTATGCTCGGCTATTAAGGCGCATTTGACTCGAAGAAGATAAGGTATTTTGCAGTCTTTCTCATGGAAAGCTAAGCTGCTCTGAGTATCTTGCAGTTATGGCTGATGATGATGAAGTAAAATTGAAAAAATCATTTAGAATAACTCAATGAAATGTGAGAGGTTACAATGTTATCGGTGACTTCTATCATAATAGCCCACTTCTCCCAAGCACGAGCAAGTGCAGAGTTCGTAACTGTGTTTTATTAACTAGCTGGCATACCCGGTCTTGCACGGTTCATGAGCCACGGAGCCAGAGTAAGGAGGGGGAGCGCATAAAATATGTGTTCTGCTTCAAAACCTACGCCTTTCCATCTTTCATACCCAGGGCTCGGCATGAGCTGGCACCAGGGAAATTTCAAGACGAAGTCCCAGTCCCGTTTGATCTTGAACTCGTACGAAGTCCCCCTTAATCTATTTTGAAGACCCGTCATTGATTTTAAATTATGTAAAAGTACATAGTAAGGTTTTCATGCATGCTGATTACATGAAACAATTTTTCACAGCCTTTTGAGCTTTTCAATTGGTTGAATCACGTCTCGAGAAGCAGAAAAAGCCGACTTTTCCATTGCGGAGCAGACCGAGTAATTTTCAAATGGCTATAAAACGCTGAAAAGATAACATTATGAAACTGTCTCTTTTCTGCATGTAAACTTTCACGGTGTAGACACATTTTATGTAAAGTATGAAACTTATGTGAGCAAAGTGTCGGTGCCAGCTGAGCTGGCACCCAGCTGGCACGTTGCCAGCTAATTTAGAAAAAAGGTTAGCACAGCTTTTATTCACATAGTTTTCATAAATTTTCGGGCCATACTTCGGGTCCCCCAACGCACATGCACACATCAAATTTGGTGTCATATGCATTTTGGCTGAAAACAAACCCTTTGTTTGTTTGATGGACAGCATGCCCGTGGCAGCTGGCGGCATTCTTGCGGCTCTTCTCCGCCCCGGACCCCGGAGAAACGATATCAACTTTGCTTTCGTCCAAAAAACGATATCCAGCTTGACCCGGTGCCAGCTGCGCCGAGCCCTGTTCATCCTGCTTCCATCTGGTGCATTTCTGCTTCCCCCCCCCCCCCCTTTCCTTCTCCGGTCCCGCAGCCTATATCCACCTGCACGGCGCGTTGTAATCCAAATGCCTACCTCAAAGCTGCATCTTCTGGACGTACCGCATCCTTCTGACCGCGAAATGAAAATGAGCTTGTCTGCCATTGTTTACACCAAAACGTGCATGGGGTATGATAGTGGTTGATAAGACTTCACTTTCATTGCAAAGTGCCGAAATCAATAAATCAATAGAAGGATCCAGTGAAACGCTTCAAAAAGTAGCCTAAAGCCATCTACGGGGTAGAAAAGATATATATGCAAAATTTCAGCTCAATCGGTTCACGCGCCAAGGAGTCTATAAAAAACATACGGTCAAGAGTTGCACAAACTTTGAGTTTTATATATGTACAGGGTGTCCCAAAAGTAAGTACACACTATTCAATCGTTAGTATCTTTCTTCCCATTGCGTCTTTTTCCACCACTTAAGTACCATTTTGTAGAGGAGGCTTCAACTTAGATTTGCAGTATAGAGCGAATCGCCGATCGCTCTTCGTTACTGTAGGATTACTGTAGGAGCTTCGACAAGGATTTTAGACCTTTGAAAGCCATATTCTGCCTAGGAACAAAACTAAACAAGCCAAAACTCTTATACTATAGTAATGGAAGCCGCTGATTTCGAAGAAATTTCCACCTTACTGTGATGCTTCTTTTCAAAGTTATCCCAGGTAGACCATAATAACCGAATTCCCAGCATTTGTCAGAAGTGTGATTTTACCGTCAAAAAAGCTGAAAACAATTGTGAAAAGTTGTGTAGTGGAATCAGCGTGCGCGAAAACCCTAGTAAGACAATTTTTCAGATTTTTTGAAAATTTTTTGTTAGATGGCATATTTCACAAAAGTTCCACATGCTGAAAGTTCTTACCGTAATCCTACAGTAACGAAGAGCGATCGGTGATTCGCTCGATACTGTAAATTTGAGTAGATGTCTCCTCTACAGAATGGTACTTGAATCGTAAAAAAAGACCCATTGAGAAGAGAGATATTGACGATTGAACAGTGTGTACTTACTTTTGGGACACCCTTTATATAGATATAGATTTCCCGCCAAAAACTTTTGAACCAGACTCGAATCTTTCAACTCTCGCTCCCAGAACTTTGAAAATTAACAGATTGTTCTGTAGTAATGCCATAACCTCTTACAAGGGTCGGCCGCCTCAATTTGGCATGAAGGTGACTGGGTGTTCAACTGCAATGTACAACCGAGTGTATATATACACTGGCAGGTTCTTCTAAGCTGTGAAGGAATTCAACGTTTCCTGTTTCGGCTGGGTCTAGCTAGTAGCCGACTGGGTCAGATCCAATGCTGCTGGGCTTTCTTGATCGCTTGGTCCCTACTCCATACTCGGGGTCAGCAATCACCCATGGAAATTAAGGGCAAGGGGGTAGTAATCCTTTTTGTGGAAACAATGTCATTGCGTTCACAAGAAAAGGAGAAAGGAACTTTGCACATTCTGCACGTCTAGGCGACAGCCATGGAGACAGCCTTGCGCTCTGCACAACTTGCACAGTCTCCACAAACGCAGATCTCCACACTCTTTTCGACGCTGTCGTCAAGTACCACGTCATTGCCCTGCGGGAAACGAAGTCCAGGAAGAAGGACAGCGACAGAGAGTAATGAGACCGCGTCATTCAAGGTGAGAAAGTTCCATCACGAAACGTTGGAGACTTTGATTTTTTCACAAAGCCATCTATGTCCATTTTTTGACTCGCACGAAATTCTATTAACTATACTAGCCACTTTACGTCTATCCTCATGGTCAGAAGAGCAAGAGCATTATCAACTGTTTTATCAACATCAGCAACTAAAAAATTAGATTGGGAGGTCGTTTGCAACAAGAAGTCGTTTTCCCAGTTTTTATTTTGACGCAAAGATCGGGATACCACTGGAAAATGAATATAAGATCGGGGAATTTTGAAATGGGCTGCGGAACAAAAATGGGAGTCGTCTAATTGGACTCTTCTCCGCCGCACGACTTTTCCACTGGAATTTCATCTTCATGAAGAGAGGACATTGCCGCTAGACGTGGAATCGCTCGAGCGATTCCATGTCTAGCAGAGCGACTCGCGCGGAGAACGGCCACACTTTCACCAACGAAGGTGGAGCTTGCTTGATGTCTCAGTAGTTCGATCCTTCTGCAGTGGCATCGATCATGGCCCCTCCGAGCGAAGATACCAGCAGTAATTGAAAAACGTCTGCTAGTTTATGACGGTACTAGGACCCAACGAACAACTGCAAGAGGCTTTCGGGAGGGATTGTGAGACTGCGGGGAGTGCACCTCAGAAACTTCAGAGATGAGCGCGGAACGCACTTCAGAGACTTTTGAAGACTTGCTTGAAAGGAGAAAAAATTTTGACGATTCGAATGAAGTTCATATCGAGCGACTGATAGCGAACGTCAGTTGCAGAACAGCTTTGCAGGAGGGTCTTCGGAAGTATAGGCGAGTTAAAATACTAAAAGCAGCCGAAGTAAGAAGCGTTAGGAAGTGCCGAGGAGGCTCTGTTGATATTTACATCGTTAGCAGCATTACTGAACGAGGATGAGACCCTCGACTTCTTCCTGATAATGAGATGGAATCTATCACGAAGAACCTCTACACCTATCTCTTCTGCTCTGAGGTGCGCACCGCGAAGACCACACCTTGAAGACATCCACGGCTTCAGAAACAGCTCATCTATCCGTCGAACTTTTGCGTGCGGTAACAGCGTCTACACGAGATTTTCGCATCGCATGTGACTTCATACCTTCAAAAGGAAAGAATTGGTGGAGAAATAGATCTTCAAAAAGCGTCATCCTCTTCAAAAAGGGCTATCTTCGAACTACCGTCCAATATGCCTGCTGAGTGTGCTGCATAAGCTTTCACGAAAATTATCCCCGCTTGCACGGATCAAGAAAAGTGGATGTTGCCCAGCCCCAAGAATAAGCTGGATTTTACGAAGAATTCTGCTGCAAAGACTAGTTTCGGAAGGTTTCGAGGGTCGTAGAAGTCTGCTGGAAGTACGATTTCGTCTAGTCTTACCCTGCGTCAATTACGAGAAAGCCTCTGATAGCGTCGAAACAACGTAGTCCTGTCAGTGCTAAGAGTGCCGATAGAGAAACATAATTTCGCCGCTGTTCACCGCGGTCTTGCAGTGGACAATGAGTCACTTGACTGAGACGAAAGATGCATAGGAGTTGATGGGAGATTCCTCGCAAACCTTCTTTTTGCAGACAATATCGTTCACTTTTTGAGCAGCATTCACTAAGGCAGGGACGATGCTGAAGGAACTAAACGAAGTAGAGAAGAAGGTCGGATTGCGAATAAATTCTGAAGAAGCCTTTTGCGATTTTACGTGTATCTTGGACGTTTTCGATGAACATGGAGAACAATTTGTGGGAAGAGATAAACAGTAGAAGAAAAGCAGCTTGCTCCACCTTTAAAGCTACCGTTCTCCCAACGATTTATTACGCAGCTGGGACCTGAGCCGATACTGTAGCCACGTCAAAACCTCTGCGGACAGTCACAGAGCGCTGGAGGACAGTCTTCTAAAGATGAGCAGACACAAACAACATCTTGTCGGACTACGCAATACGGATAGATGTGTAAAGCGAGGAGCAGAGACACATGGAAGCTTCTGCGCTGGGGCTCGCAAGCCACGTGAAGACGGGCTATCTTACTAAGGAAAGATCTTTGGTCGAAGTGGCCTTTTCAAGTAAAATGCGCATTTTAAAGAACACTAAACGTTGATTTCAAATCTTTGTTTCCTCTCTGTGGAGCGCCCATGGGTGTGGAGTTATGAGCGTTATATGAGTCAACTGTGAAATCGGAAAACCGATGGCGAGATCGGAAAAGGCGATGGTGACAGCCTCGCTAACTCGCAGACAAATGATGGCGAATTAGAAGGCAGGGGAATTTCCTAGAGAGGTTTAGCAGTCAACACTATTTCATCTACAAACCTCTATAAATGATTTTTTCTAGCTACGAGTTCAAATTTTTGCTACAAAAGCTCTCATAACTCGTGGTATACGAGCGCGCCTCATATAAGGAAGACAGATTTGGAAACAGCGTTTGATGTCCTTCAAGAAGAAGTGCGCCACTTATGGAGAGGCCACTTTGACTAAGGATGCTTAGGACCCCGTAAGTATCCAAGTGATCAAGTGTGTCATAACAACCAAAACACGTTTGGTTCACTTGTAACTTTGTTACTTACATGTTAATCAAAATTCTTTGCAATTATAAAGAGCTGAAGCATTTGCTAACGACTTCTGCGACTCGAACACCACGATTACGCGCAACTATTACCCCACACCTGCTTATTTTCGCTTACTGGCAAGCAGCTTGGAGCATGTATCGGTCATGTTTCGTGCACGTTACTTCAGAAGACAATCGGATTACAGATATCTGTTGTCGTTGTATGCTTGCATCTTTTGATGTGTTAAGGAAAGTTAACATTATCATTCTATATCTATCGCCACTAAAAGTAATTTTTTGTTTCAGCTCAGAGAGTTTGATCAAATGAATAAACAAAATTGAACAAATAATTAATTTTTCAATTGATGTAAGCTCCGATGTAAGTCGATTGATATCCATATCTCAGAAAAATGAAGAATATTTGTAAAGCATGCGTCTACGACGAATATGCACTATCTACGATACATACCCTTTGATTCAACCGGATTGGCGGCTGTCTCTGATCATTCCTTAGCCTTGAGGACCCGCCTTCCAGCCGCCAATCCCGTTGAATCAATGTGTACATACATGGTTAAGGGCAGTAGCCATTAACATCTCCGCTGGGGAGGAGATAAATTAATTCTGCAGTTGCGCAGTTCTGGATTTCATACCGTCTATCCATTCTCAAGTGTCTTTGCAATTCTTTAGTAAGGATAATCAACGGGAGCGAGCATTTGTATAAGCCGCATTTTCTAGTTTTTTGTGTGAACCCTCAATGATCCCAGGGGGTCCTTTATTCACAATCGTTTTCTCTCTTCGAAGTTAAATGAAAGATCTTAAAGCTGTACGGATCACCCAGCCCAGTGCGAAACATATTTCTGGTAAGAACAAATGATTACTAAAACACTGAAATTTCGATAAACCCCAAGTTTCGACTTTTAGTTCATCGCACTTCATTATTTTAATACATCATTTTTCTTATAAAAAACATGCTTAGCAACTCACTGATTGTTTGAAACTTTAAGCAAAAACCAATCAAGCTTTGAAGCAGTTAAAGAAGGATTAGTGCATACAAAGCCCATTTTTACATTGCGAGGCAAGCATACGAAGATAGCAAGGAGAAATCCGGTGTGTGCTAGCAATATGGAATGTTGAGGTACAAGTCAGCTCCCATTTTGTGCGCCGATTTGCACTATGTCTTTCTGATTTAGAACTACATTGAATAAGATTGATGACACCTTAAAGTGGCATGGGCATGATTCATCAGCAGAAAAGTTGCAAATGTTTGCAGTCGCAGTAAGAGGTTAGTAAATAATTTGTTACATGCATGACGACATGTTATATTACACTGATACGTAACTCCCCTGAAATTTAAAGCTTACCGTTTCTATTATGATCAGTTTTATCTTTTCCTCGACATTTTTCGCACATTTTATAAGTTCTTCTAACACCTATAAAAAAACATTGATTTTTGGAAAATCGTCAGGTAGACTACCTGAATACAAAACTTTATGATGAGTTCAAGATCTTCCAGAGCTTTGCTTTGCACATTGTAGAAGTATTGAGGCAATGCTTTTAGCTAAGATGAGTACATTTTATGGAGATAAGCTGACAGATTAGATGACCTCATCATCGAAGACTCCCATTTTGAAATTTGACTCAAGATCGGTGATATAGATACGACTCAAAAAGTGATTGACCTTAAAATGCTGAATTTCATTTGATCACAAAAAAATAAAGCAACTTACAGCTGCTGTGAGTCCGTCAGTAACCTCTCTAATGTCAGCGTCTTCGGCTACCTTTTTAATCGACAATGCATCCGATTTTAGACCACTTACTGCGTTAAACACCTGTAGCAGTTTCATTCCTGATTTTTCTCTTTACGCTGTTTACCTCCGTTCCATTTATGTAACCAAATTTGTTGTCGATTTTTTTCAAGAATGTATCAAGTGAAATACGGAGTTTGTCTTCGATGCCTGCTTTCAAATTGTTCTTGTTCAAAGAGCAGATCGTGTTTCCAGCAAGAATTTGGAGTGGAGCACTCAAGCCTATTAAGATAGTCAATGATTTGATTGTTGTCATTTGGCAAGTTCACTGACTAAATGAGTCTTGACTGAGTTTCTTCAGCAATTCTTTCGTTCCCATTCTTAAAAGATGAGTATTGTATAATAATAAGATTGTTGAGACAATCATCAATATTACAGAAACAGACAATATTGCTGTTGCAAGCACAATCCCTCCCAGTCCAGAGTTGTATTGCTACAATTTTGATAATTAGAGAAATTGATTATGGGCGGTATGTAACCAGTTAGTATTACAATCATGAATTTGCATGTGGCATAATGATTACAGTATGTACTTCGCATGTAAGTCGACTTTATCTTACATTATGGCGATTAAATATTGCAGTATTCGGCGTAGACAGGAGTTATCGTCGCCTCCCCTGTGTATGTTGGGTGGAGCATTTGCACACATCTGAACACGTTGTGAACTTGTTAACCCTCTGCTGCAAGGCACTGTTCTTTGTGATCTCTCGCTACCAACACGTTGATAACGGCATATATAGTTTAGAGAGCACAAAGAACCATATCTACCTATATACTTTGCAGCAGAGGTTTAATAAGTCAGCAACTCGTTCAAATGTCTGCAAATGCTCCGCCCAACGTACACCGGGGAGGCGACGATATATAGCGTGTATGTGCCCAATACATGTTATTATGCTTCCGTGAAGATGGCATGTAAACCGATGCGTTTGCAAACGTGCTACGTAATTTTGCTGTCTAACATACTCAAGATTTTTGAATTATTAGAGAAAAAAAATCAAAGTTGGTTAATATCGCTCATATTTTCAGATAAGATACAAACAACGACAATGTTGCGTGCGCATGTCAGAAAAGCTGTCTGCGTGCGACGCGGGAGTAATGCACAGCAACTGAAGTCACAGATGCAGCGCGCATTGTAAGTGGGACTGGTAGAGTATCAAGCTTGCCTATAAAAAAAACATTTGGCAAGCGTGAGACGAGAGCGTTTGGTAAAACTGATAGATAAACATAAATGAAGAAATGGTTCGGCATTTGAATGCACACCTCAGCACATTAATCAGAGATGCATGCCAATAATGATCGCCACATTTTAGGCCCCGGGCAGACTTCACGCGATTTGATCGTCACGACTGAATCGCGGCGAGACAACTGTTACAACATCATTCCATGCCGATCAACTTGCATTCGGTTGATACTTTTCCAGACAGAAATTTTTGAATGTGAAATGAAAATTAATGGAAATCTTGGCGATTAGATCGCGACGATTAAGTCGCGTGAAGTCTGACCGGGGCCTTAAGGCGTCTTTGTCGGACAAATCATGTGAGTATGGATACTGGTAACTTTGTGTACATCCTTCTGTATTAGTCGCCTATCACTTTCGGACGTACGCTTCCAGTAGCGGTGGTTAAGGGCGATCATGTCTGTTTTTGAGATTTTCTTGGCACAAAATCAAAGGAGATCAAAAGTAGCAGAGAATTAGCTAGAGAAGAGATGCTTCGGCCTGGGTTGCAGTGATGTCATTTTTGCACCGCTGAAGAGGACCAGAGCGCTTGACCTCCAGTTCGTACACCTGCCACTGTAGAACCTTTGAGCACAACAAGAGTGAATATTGCGAATAATGCTTGGTCTGGACTCGTGTTTTGATTCTGCGGTACTCATCATCTTCGTAAGATACCGCTGAGCTGTAACAAACTGATTGCTTGAATTTTGGTGCATGAGAAATAAGCTAGAATTTTCCGGCTGGCAGTATGACGCTGAAATTGAACTGTTCAAGCTGTTAGGTTTTACAGATATATTCTGGATTCTTTCATTGGCGAAATGAAACCTAAACCTTCTCCTTTTGTTTTAATTAGAAAGAACAATTAGCGTATAAGAGTAGCCACTCTGATTTCAAGCTTTCGTTTTCAAAAGACAGAGTAAACAATGGCGCATCAAAGCTTATGGTACAGTGACCGCCAAAAAATTGCGGGCAACCTTTTCCTCTTTTTTAAATCGCTCTTCTTCAGAGGGAAAACAAGGATGAAAAAATGTAATAATTGCATGAGGTGATAGAGCTCTTCAAGATCTACAATCTACACTTTCAGCTTTTTGAGAAACATGTGTTCTAAAAATTTTAAGAATCCTTTTCTAAGAAAAGTCCGAAAATGGCCGCGTCACAATGTCGCGGACAATAATTCTTCGAACGCAAAAATTTTCTTTTGAGTCCTACTTTGAAGCGGAAACACAAGTTATCCGGACGGGTAAGCATACTACTATACAGAACTCGTCAAGAACTACACACTGGTTATGGTTGCTTCCCCAAACAACGCAAGCTTGAGTTTTATTTGCCTTTTTTCAAAAAATAACTTCTAATTTCCTTTATCAGGCCAAATTTCTTCACACGGAAACTGTTCAAGACATCCCAACAAAGCCGTCTGGATAAAATAGATGCTCTCTGCCATCCTCTATGCATCGGATATGTGATTATGAGTTTCTTTGCTGAAAATGGCCCGTGGCAGTGCTTGCACATGACCCTACCTGCACCCCTCACCACTGACTTTTACCGCTTTGCAGGCTTGTAACTCGGCCGCCAGACATTATAAGCTGCAGTTAGGCTCATTCGAAAGAACGAGACTTCCTCTATACGATGATATGCAAATGAGTTGAGTTTGAGAAACTTCAGAGATTTGGCGGATGGGGTGAAAAAGTGCAGCCTCAGAGGTGATTGGAGTGAAAGCTCTTATGAACACCAGAACAGTCTTAGAGCCTCGAAATGAATCTATTACAAGAAAATTGACAGTTTTGAACTTCCAGGATGGAATTGGTAGCGAAAGGAGCTCTCTTCAACTTTAGCTGAAAAGTGCTTAGACTACAACTGAAGCTGCCCTCTACTACCCCATCCGCCAAATATCTGAAATTTCTCAAACTCAACTCATTTGCATATGATCATATAGAGAAAGTCTCGTTCTTTCTTATTTGAGCCTAATTGCAGGCTCAAATATTGACTGCAGGCCGAGTTACAAGCCTGCAAAGCGGTACAAGTCAATGGTGAGGTGCAGGTGGGGTCATGTGCAAGCACTGCCACGGGCCATTTTCAGCAAAGAAACTCATCAACACATGATGCATAGAGGATGGCAGAGAGCATCTGTTTTATCCAGACGGCTTTGTTGGGATGTCTTGAACAGGTTTCCGGGTGAAGAAATTTGGCTTGATAAAGGAAATTAGAAGTTTTTTTTTGAAAAAAGCAAAATAAAACTCAAGCTTGCGTTTTTTGGGGAAGCAACCATAACCAGTGTGTAGTTCTTGACGAGTTCTGTATAGTAGTATGCTTACCCGTCCGGATAACTTGTGTTTCCGCTTCAAAATAGGACGCAAAACAAAATTTTTGCGTTCGAAGAATTACTGTCCGCGACATTGTGACGCGGCCATTTTCGGACTTTTCTTAGAAAAGGATTCTTGAAATTTTTAGAACACAAGTTTCTCAAAAAGCTGAAAGTGTATATTGTAGATCTTGAAGAGCTCTATCACCTCATGCAATTATTACATTTTTTCATCCTTGTTTTCCCTCTGAAAAAGAGCGATGAAAAAGGGAGAGGGGTTTGTCCGCGACTTTTTGGCGGTCACTGTATATAATCAGTATGATGGTTCGAAAAGGAAAACGGTGCTGGGTTCGAGATGAACCAGACAGAATATTTTGTGAGCAAGCACGGACATTGTTGTATGGAGTAGAAATCAAAGAGAATACCGTTAAAAATGTAGGGTTTCAACGTCGGACTCAACGAACATACTCATTTGCAATAACTTGCTTTTAGAGTTCCCTTTAATCTACTACACTGCAGCGCGCGCATGCCGCTGCTGCCACCATGAGCATGGATAGCCAATATGCCATACTTTGCGGAGCCATAGGGGTCACGTTCAATGAGAGGCGACAGTAGCAGGGACGTGCATCATTTCTGTGGCGTAGCTCGAAACCTGCGGAACTAACGTGCCTTTTTATAAGATTCCAAAATCGATGCGAGATGAAATCAACACAAGGTTTTTTAACAGCGCGGAGACAATCGCATCACCGCTAGACTAATGCACAATGCAATATTACAGTAGTAATAGTACAGTACATAGTACATCTCTATATATAAAGCAGAAAATCTATGTGTTTGTGTGTCTGTGCACACCCATAGTCCTGAAGGATGAAGGCAATCATTTTGGATCTGTTGGACATCAGGATATGGTAAGGACAGTAGACGAACCCAAGACGGGTCCGAAGCAAAAAAAAGAGTAAATTTCGCTATGTGAAAGATCAAGCACGAACGACTGGTTCCAAAAGGGGTGGAATCCGGGATGCTAGCTCGTAATTCTATAGAGCAAATTAAGCCCTACAGGATATTATTCGATTCGGCATGACAATTTTCTAGCTTTTTACAGATGGTAGCTCTCAAAATGAAATCTTTTTTCTAGCTATTCTAAATACAAATTTCTGCTTCAAACGACATGACTCAGACTTTTTGAGATTATTTGAACACGATTTTGTAGAGCCTGCATTGCTTTATCTAATGATATTTTTTCAAAAATCTATCTACCCTTAGGCGTTGGCGCAAAAAAAAAACACGTTTTGATCACTATTATGTCTTATCTTTGAGATCAAGGCGGTGCAGGGGATCCTTTGAGATCCTGAGGCTTGTTCTTCCTTGTTTGTTCATCTTTTGGAGGCTCTACTACCCCAATATTGTAGCGCAATGAGTAGCAGCACTTTGCTGTATAAGCTGAGATGATTCGTTATTTGTATGACCAGTGCGTCACCTCTGCTTCGCAGAGGCTCGCACTGGCCCTACTTTCTGTTTGCCTTAAGGGGCGGGCATACTTCACACGATTTCAGTCGCGACGCGATTTGGCAATTCGCCAAAAGTCTTCAGATCCAACACTAGCATTCTGCACATGCACAGTGTGTATAACTTACGTGGAGTGATAAAATGCCCTATCCTCTGTACATTTAAAATGTGCTTACAATGAGTTAAGGATAGTTGAAATATTGCCAAGTCGCGCCGCGACTAAAATCGCGTGAAGTATGCCCGGCCCTTTACTCATTCCCGCATAATAATGGCATTGATACTCACCGCGCTATGCAGGCTATCACGAATGATTTTCAAACAACTACTCATTCTGAAAGCTTTTTTGTGTGAAATTGGTATTTTCGCTTGGATGAAACTTTTCCGAGAAGAATAAATGCAAATTTGAGCCGGTTTTGGACTTTTTATGGTTTGGTAGTCGACATAACGACGATGGTCACCATGGGCTACAGCTTTGTGCAAAAATCTCCTCAAATAATTAGGTAAAATCTTGGCAAATTGAACGTTTACGCAACTAATTTTTTTCGGCGCCGTTTTCGTGAAGTAATCAACTTTAGTTCAATTTTTTGGGCTAAAGTCCATGGCTTGCAAATTAGCTTGTTAATCATTTCCATGACTTTGCAAAAAGTGGTGGTACAATCTCAATTTTGCTGGTCAGAAGCCAAGTGGATCCGTTTGAAGCGCTATTTTTGAGGGACACATTCAACGGATCCGCTCGTGCTTTCGCATAGCGGACTTTCATGCTGCTAGCATGCGCCTTGCAAAATTTGGGCTCAAGAGGTTGGCTGGAACTCGCTCTGCGAATTTCGTAACGGACAGAAAGACACACGTACAAAAAGACGTAAACAACTCTTAGCCCGTTATTATAAGTCATGATCCTGAGCGGGATCCCCCACTGATCACGCTTATTTTCAAAGTTATTTATATCCAGAAAAACTCAGTGAAAACGTCACTGAGTTGCTGTCGATTTATTACAACAGTGTTACGCATGTTTGTGAAAGAAATAAGTGAAAATTCAAGTTGACAAAATCTTCGATGAACCTGCCTGTGCTCGCGAGTTGGGGTCTATCGAAAAACTCAAAACTTGCACATTTCTGTGCTGCTAAAAACAGTCGTAGCACTGTCGTAATAGGTCGACAGCAAAACTCTGTGAACTTCATTGAGTTTCGCAGATATAAATAACTTGAAAATGAGCATAGTCAGTGGGAGATCCCGTTCGGGATCATACAAATAACGAATTATCTCAGCTTATACAACAAAATGCTGCTATTTATTGTGCTATAATATTAGAGTAGTAGAGCCTCCAAAAGATGAACAAACAAGGAAGAACACAGGTCCTCAGAGCACCGTGCTATGAAGCGGAAACTACCTGTCCGGGTAACTTATCCGGACGGGTAATTGATACATACCCCTGAACATAAGTTAATCAACCTGCTTCGAGAGCTTTTCCTGAATTGATTCACTCAAGATAGAAGCTCTTGCAGCAAACAATTTGACATACATGACGACAAATCATTTAATCAGTCATTTATGTGAACTTTACTTATAAAATTGACAATAAAGTGCCATGAATTCTGAACGATTGTGAATGACAGATAAACTCATGTTGAACAAACAGGATACCATTGAGCGGATGAGAAAGCTCATTACAATTTGAAATCAGCACCTGTGGTTGCCAAATGCAACGTTTGAAGAATATGAGTACACCAATGACAATGAGAAAAAATGCCATAAAGATGCCAAACCCAAATACTAGTGCAAAAGTGATCTTAATTCTAAAGTTTAGTCAAGGTCTTGCAGAAAGGATTTGCTCACCTGCGAAAAAGCTACTTCGGCAAACAGTCCTCCAAACAGTCCTCCTTTTCTTGAGTCTTGATCAAGCATTTTCTGACAATCGTTTGGTTTGAGATAGTTTAGGAACATTTATGCTTGACTGGGTACCGCAATACATAGGAGTAGAGGAGTATGTGCCGCCAAATGTAGGGGGGGGGGGGGGGGGTCCCGCGCGGACTTCTTGCAAAAACGCAAGCCATGATTGTGAAAGGGTGCGTATTTGTTGCAGATGGCCGCGAGGGCCGCCCATTTCGGCGACATATAGTCCTCTATCCCACATAGTTATACGCCAAGATCATGCATCATTTAGATAGTGGAGTACGTTGAGAACAGCGGAAGTGAGACAACGATATCATTATGTTGGAATATAAGTCTTGCATTGAAAGTAGTGTTGCTTTTTCAAATTTATGAAAAACTCACAAGGAGAGTCATTTGACTTAGCTCGGCCTTTTGAAATGAAACACATATATTTAGAACCAGCTCGGAACGCTGATTCCAAATACGCTGTCCTTAACTGCGAAGCGTTCGTCTAAAGCAAGTTACGGGGCCCTTTTCGTAATTCGCTTCGAAGTAATGGCGTCCCTAAGATATTTATTGGATAGTTAACTAAAATTGAATTTAAAAAGGAATAGCTAATTTATGGGTAGGTCACAGTCTCACTGTTTGCATAATAATATCACCGATTACCAGCTTTTAAACATTATTAAATGGAGGCAAAAGCGAAAAGCGTTGGTGGGAGCCGATCCCTTCACCTTCTGACTATGAAGCTAGACACTTGCCACTTCACCAAGAGCAGACTATGCGTTATTGCTAGCCTTTCACTTAGACTGCCGGCGGATGGCATAATTCACGGACTGCTCTGTGACTATAATCATCAGTAATTTCTACATTTCCAAAAAGAAATGATCCTGATTTGTTCGAATTAGCTCCCATCTCCGTATTATTTTCTTCACATAACCATTTTGGATCTCCGTCATTACTCCAAAGCGAGTAACGAAAAGGTCCTCGTGACTACCTTTAGACGAACGCTTCGCAGCTAAGGACGGCATATTTGGCAGCGTTCCGAGCTGATTCTAAATATATGTATCTCATTTCAAAAAGTCGATGTTGTTGAGTGAAGTAAGACAAGCTTTGTACAGTATTGAATCGTTATGCATGGTCTAGGTTGCAAACGGTTTTATTTTTGCCCATAACCCCATAAATTCTTGAATTTCACTAAGTTTCGAAAAATGCCTGGATTTTTTTCTGTTTTATCACTAAAAAGGTCGTGGTTTGTTTCATTTTGTAGCCGCACTCCGTTGTACATGATTTAAAGAAAAGAGCGCGCAAGGTTGAAAAGAAAGTTACGGAAGTTGCAAAACTCAATTAACAGCCTAATAGGGCTTGTACAGATGGGGGAGGGGCTCGTATTAGAACTTCACAAAGTTCTCTCATAAAAAAACTACACCAAAACCAAAGTGGTTTATAGCTCACCGTGTTACGATGTCAAAAGGCGGAAAAGTCCTCATTACCTATTCTTAGACAACCCAAGCTCTGCAATCTTTATTGGCACAAACATACTTTTATGATCGGCCCTCAGATTTGTGTGCAGGCGGGTTGCGCACTTTCCTGATTTTAAGGATAAGCTTAACGAAAGAGTACGAAATACAATGCTTTAACCTAAAGGCTTAACAAGTTTATCCTGAAATTCAGGGAAGTCCATACCCGCCTCCACACAAATATGAGCCGAGGTACTTTGTTGCTGCTCTTCCACTGCAGGATTAGTGAAGAAATTTTACCTGCGCTTGCTCTGCAGATATATCGTTGTAGATTGCCTTCATTAGTCGAGCTGCATATGCATTGCAAAACAGTATCTTGTGTTCCTCCGATTTTGCATAGGCATAGAAATGTTCGTTGCATTCTATGCATATTCATGAAGCAATGCGGAACGTTACCAACTCTGATTTCGTAGACTTAACTCACCTTCTGAGAATGTGGTTAACAAGCCTAAAAATTTTTGATAAAAAAAAGAAAAAAAGATATGCTACCTGAGATAGAACTACCTGCTGCGTCTGCCGTTGAACTATTTACGGCTTCTGTGGATTGTAAATCTGCCACCGCTGTATAATTCATACTCAAAGTAAATGATCATCACATGCAAAATGTTTAATAAAAACGTGCATATCTCTATCACTTTTCAACAGGATCGTATGCTGCATTTCATTGCTTAAGATGAGCCCTCCCAGCTTTGTGAAAACTCGAATGTAGAGGCCTACCTGCTGCGATTTTATCGTGGCAGCTTCGTCGTCAGGGATTTTGATGCTCAAAGTTGCGAAATTACGACGAATAATTAGCTGAACGGTCAGGTGATTTATAAGTCGTAACAAGATAGCACGTCTAGGCTAACTGGCAGTCTTGGTATCTGATAAAGCTTACCTGAAATAACTGAATTTTTAATGAATCGTAGTCCCATGTTAAACTGAGAAAGCACTTTCCTGCGCAAGACCACTAATTAAATAGACAGTGTGTCCCAAAAGCAAGTACACACTGTCCAATCGTTAATAACTCTCTTCCCACAAAGTTTTTGCTTAGCTTCAAGTACCAACCAGTAGAGCGGGATTCAACATAGATTTGCAGCGTGAATCATCTGTCGCTTTTCATTACGGTGGGATTACTTTAGGAACTTCCAGCATCAGCTCCTAGTAAAATGAGCCGTTCGAAAAAAAAATTCAAAAAATTTAAAAAGTTGTATATTAGTGTTTTCAGACATGCTAATTTTATCAGACAACTTTTTGAAGCAACACAAATGATTCGATCACTTTCTGAATATGCTAAAAACCATCATTACGCCTTTGCTAGTATAGCTTAAGAAAAACCTCTTACGATAGAGTGCAAACTTCATAAACATAAGTTAGCAAAGATTAGCTCAATGATAAAGTTTTCAGTTTGTTCAGTATCCATTCTAGGGCAAAATGTAGCCATTGATTGCTCAAAACTTTCTTCGAAGTTTCTACAATAATCCTAATCCTACAGTGTTGAAGAGCGATAAGTGACATGTTTCGTAATAAAAATATAAGTTGGAGCCTGCTCTATTTAACAGTACTTCAAGCTAAGCAAAAAACTCTTTGGAAAGAGAGTTACTGACGATTGAAAAGTGTGAACTTACTTCTGGGACACCCTGTATACTCGTGGCTAGTGTGTTACAGTGGGTGAATGTTTTTGATTATTGCTCTGTGGTAGTATTCGTTACAAACTGGTATTAGTTGCATATTTGAATACAAGCGTTGCTGAATGTAACGTGTAAGCAGCCATTCAAGATTTATTGCAAAATCGACATATTTTTTTATCAACGTTCTAACTTTATTAACAAAACTTTTTGACGGCAGTTCCAGCGTCTGGCTTACAAGTTGTCGCGGATTGGGCCCCCAGCTCCCAACGTCAGTGGTACAACGGCTCTCCTGCATCGGCGAGGGGAGCCAGGGGTCCGCTCCGTGAAAGAGTGAAACGTATCATGTGAGGTGGCTACCTGTGAAAATGCTATTTGTGCCTGCCACATGGACACTCCATGCACACGTAGAGGCCCTTGCCACCAGCCTGCTTAGCAGTTACTCGACACCTGCGACTCGGCTACTTTCAACCATCGGCAGTTGGGGCACGGTACTTATAACCGGGGCACTACCTAGGATTGTGCCTGCCTTCAACAGATCTTTCCCACTAGGCATAATCATAACTTATAATAACGGGCTAAGGGTTGTTTGCGTGTTTTTGTGTGTGTGTGTGTGTGCGTGTGTGTGTGTGTGTGTGTGTGTGTGTGTGTGTGTGTGTGTGTGTGTGTGTGTGTGTGTGTGTGTGTGTGTGTGTGTGTGTGTGTGTGTGTGTGTGTGTGTGTGTGTGTGTGTCTGAATGTCTGTCTGTCACGAAATTCACAGAGCAAGTTCCAGCTAAGGTCTTGAGCTAGAATTTTGACCATAGCACCCTGTCAGCATATAGATCAACTGTGCAAAAGCCCAAGCCGATTCGATAAGCGGGACCAGTGGAAAATGTGGGCCAAATGGATCCATGCGGGTTTTCGCCTACAAAACTGGATCTAAACCAAGACTCTTTGCAAAATTATGCAGTCCTTTGGTATGTATTCCCCAAGCCATTGACTTTAGCTTGAAAAAATAATCAAAAATCACATTGCTTCGAGATAACGGCGCCAAAAATGATGATTGCATAGATGGTCGTTTTCCGAAGGTTCTACGAAAGAATTCAGAAAGACTTTTGCTCGGAGATTTAGCCCTCGGTAGTCGTTGCCATTATAGCAAATATCAAGACATTATAAATTTGGTGACCAATTCAAATTCACATTCATTTCTCGGCACAGAGGTTTTCCCCTCTCAAAATCACCGATCTTACATGGAAAAGCTTTAGGAATGAGTAATTGTTTACCATTCATTCGTGATGGACAGCATTGCGAGGTGAGTTTCACAGTCATCATTAGGTAAGCAAGAGGAAAGCACAGATGGTGGAATCAGTGCGGGACTCTGCGAAGCAGAGGTGACGCACTGGTTATAAATAAACAATGACTAAGATGACACGAGATATTCCCGGAGCCACAGCCGAGATGTGGCTCACCGCATCAAACAAATCACACGTGTAAAATGCCCACCATTTATCCACAACTAACCCCTAAACTCAAACACAAGGGGTGAGCACGACCAGCCAAATGTTATCCTAGGGGCCGACAATATCGGAAACCCCCCATGGCGGTGTCGCCGGCGTATGCCAGGCGCGAGCGCGCACGGGGTTACCTCGTCTGCGGGGTTGCCTGTCCTCCTCGGCATGTTGGATGCAGACGACGCGTGAGTTGGGGACGGCGCTGCATTGATCGATACGTGGGATGACGAAACTGGGGCCCAACCGCTCACCAGGTAACGAAACTGACGACTGATATGAAAGCTGGCGGTAGCGACGGGAAGGCGGGAGCAGCGCGAGGACAGCGTTTCGGACCCCTTCGCAGCGAGGCGGCGGCCTCCTTTGAAGGAAGTCGCGAAACCGCGACACAAGTGACTGTTGGGACGAAAATCCTCTCAACAAAAACTTAGTGTTACCATAAGTGAAACCTTAACACCTCCCAATATCCCTTGTGTATGGAATTTTTGGAGTTGTTTTACTTTCACTAACAGGGGTGACCTTCAAGCACAAACATAAACTTGCGCGGCCCTTACGTAGTGTTCGCTTTAGCTTAAACCAGTGCGTCACCTCTGCTTCGCAGAGGCTCCCACTGATCCTACTTTTTGTATACCTCAATAATTCCGGCATGATAATGACACCAGTGCATCACCTCTGCTTCGCAGAGGCTCCCACTGATCTTACTTTTTGTATACCTCAATAATTCCGGCATGATAATGACACCAGTGCGTCACTCTGCTTCGCAGGGGCTCGCACTGGCTCTACTATCCAAATACCTTCCTCGTAGTCACAAAATGATGACTTTGAAACTAACCTCGCGATGCCGATCATCACGAATGAAATGTAAACAACCAATCATTCCAAAAGCTTTTTCATATAAGATTGGTGACTTTGAGGAGAAAAATATTCTCCCAAAAATTAAATGCGATTCTGAATCTGTTAATGGCTTGATAGTCGCCATAAAGATGATGACAACTGTAAATTACATCTCTGAGCAAAAATTTTCTCACATTCCCAAGTAAAACTTTGACAAATCGATCATCTACGCAATTATTCCTTTTTGACGCCGATCTTGCATAAAAGTAAACTTTTTGCTCACTTTTCGGGCTGGAGTCCATGATTTACGGTTTTGCTTGCTAAACGAAACCATGACTTAGGAAAAAGTCCAATTCCAGGCCCACTTTGGCGCGCGAAATGCCGCGTGGATCCGCTTGGCGCACAATTTCACAGGTTCCAGTCATCGGATCGGCTTGTGCTTTTGCACATTTTACCTACATGCTGATAGGGTGCTACTACCAAAATTTTAGCTCAAGACCTTTGCTGGAATTCGCTCTACGAATTTCCTGACAGACAGAGATTCACACACAAACGTAAACAACCTTAGCCCTTATTATAAGTTATGATTGAAACTCACCGCGCTAAGCAGGCTATCACGAATGGTTTGTAGATAACTACTCAATCCTACAGCTTTTTCGTGTAAGATCGGCATTTTCGCGTGGATAAAACTTTCCCAGAAGAATGAATGCACATTTGAATCAATTTTCGAGCTTTCTATGGTTTGGTTGCGCCACAAGGACAATAATTACCGTGGGCTACTCTCTGTGCAAGAATTCAAAAATGATCAGGCAAAACCTTGTCAAGTTGAACGCTTACGTAAAGGCCCCGCAAAATCCAATTGCCCACTCGTCGCTTTGAACACCAACGCGCGGTGCGGCTGGAAACGTTTGGTCCCGAAGCGCTACAGGCTTTTTGCGAACGACAATGAGCGCGCACCCTTTCCACACATATTTTGTAAACATTTGAAGGGAGCTTTCGTCGAAATATACCTTGCATTGACGAGAACAACATGAAAGTCAAAGAAAGATTCTTGGAATATAGTAAACGCCGACAGTCGTTCGCGACGACCGCTCGCTTGCGCTGGTGTTCAAGGCACGGCGTGGGCAATTGGGTTTTACGGCGCCTATAATTAATCTTTTGGCGCCACTTTCCGCCAAGTAATTAACTTTAGTTCAATTTTCTGGGCTAAAGTTTATGGCTTCTACATTGGATTCTCAAACAAATCCATGACTTCGCAAAAAGTGATGGTACAGGCCAAATTTTGCTAGCTAGAAGCCAAGAGGGTCCTTTTGACGCGTAATTTGAGGGATCCACTCAGCGGATCCGCGCGTGCTTGCGCATATTGGACTTTCAAGCTGGTAGCATGCGCTATGCAAAATTTGGGCCCAGGAAGTTGGCTGAAACATGCTCTGCGAATTTCGTAACAGGACAGACACACACAAATACACGCAAACAACCCTTAGCCTATTATTATAAGGTCTTGATTATAAATTTATTCCTTTCCAAATTCTAACCTTGCTCATATTCTACATCACTGAGAATCGCATCTAAGTCTACAACCGCGATGTATACGATAATGGACTCAGAAGCCGCAAACTCCATTTGCGTGTTCCAGAAAAACG